CATAAATTTTAGAATCAAGTGCAAAAATGCTTCAATTCACTTCAAAAGTTCTCCAGATACGGTGAAATATGCAAAAAGTAAAATTGGTATTAAGGGATCTAAACTTTGGATCACTCTCCTAACCAACTATGGGGGAAATATTTCTAAGATGTGGCTACACTCTATATGTTAGGGGTCAGAAATCCAAATTCATTGAGAAAAATGTATGCTTATTCAGAGAAAATAAGTTTTTGTGTCTGATTTTGTAACTTAAATATCATCTGCATTTATTATCTATCATATTTAAGGTCACCCCCTGGAATCATTCAGGATGAGTCCCAAAACATGAAAATCCAATCATTAGATCAAAAGTTTCTTTCTTTTTTTTTGTGCACTTCACAACTAAATTGGAAATAAAAATTGTGTAATAAATGAAGTTTAAACTATAATACTGTACATCAATACAATTTTTAAACAAATTAAATTGTTTGTATCTACAGCAAACTATAACAAGTATTTTAATCTGAAAAATAGAGAGATTTCATCATCATATAACACGTTCTCTACTCTGTCATTATTTCTTACAAATTGAGTTGTTATCTGATAAATTTTTACACTTTTTAACCAAAGATATTTTCAGCAAAGCAATTTTTAGAATATCTATGTCTAGTGGAATAATGCATTTAAGTGCATACATTTACTCCAATTTTTTCAGTTTATTTAAGAAATCAATAAAAAAAGATAAAAGAGTGTTTATGTTTGCTTTTTGAAAAACACACAATAGGGGAGAGAGTTTGCCTAATATGCAGTCAGTTATTTTTGCACTAAAAAATTTATAGCTCAATTTAATTATTTCATACATTCATATTAAAACTTTAATTATACCGCGAAGATTCAAGAAATTAAAAAAATTATGCACCTTTTATTCCATGATAACATGTGTCTCAGAATTTTTACTCCATTTAACTTGCTTCTTTATTTAAGTTTTCCCACAAAAAAATTAAGGATGTTATAAAAAATAACATTTTATTATCTTTTGTAAATATATAGCTAAAATTATTTACTTCCTTTAAGTATGAAAAAAATAACTACCAAAATTTACTTACTAAAATTTAAACACATTTATTTCCATTTCCAGTAATTAATTTTTCAATTGTATAGCAAAAAACGACAACCCATAAAGGAAAAATGTGAAAGGAAATTAAGTTGGTTTTTTTTTTTTTTTTTATCAGACTGTTACTTCTGNTTTTTTTTTTTTTTTTTTTTTTTTTAAATGAAATTACATGAAATTAAGTATTAAAATAAATGCTAATTTGTTTGTAAACATACAATAATTCAAAAAAGGTATGTAATTTTTTATTTTATGTCCTTGCTGATACTCTAAATGCAGTTACAGTTGAATCTGCTGAAATTAATAAATATATGAATTTTTCATTGCTACCACCCCCATCCAAAAAAATTTAATGGATGTTCTCATAAAAGTTTAAAAATTGTTCTAAATCATGCAGCTTTTTACTGTAAAACTGCAGTGGTCCAAACTCATGCATGAAAAAAAAACTAGAAGTAAAATCATACTCAAAGCAGCATTTAAAAACTTCCTTAGGTATGGTCTTTACATAGCAAACAAATCAAATTAGAATCTACATTTAAGAGCAAAAGTCATTTCCTGTTATCAACCTAACCCCCAACAAAACTCAGAATCCTAAGCAATTCTGACTTGTTTGAACTGTTTCTAGTTTTCCTGAGTCTACAATTAGGACATTTGTGCTCAGTCCTTTTTTGTTTAGCTGCTCAATTTTGCTGTGTACAAATCATACAATTTCTGTTAAAAAATTATCTTAACTTAAATTTCTTTTGTATCAGTTATTAAACTTTTATTTTTATGAGTCTTCTTTATTTTCAAAACTAGATTATTCATAAAAAGAACTTGTATGCATCATAATACTACTTGCATAAAATAATTTCCTGGAAAGTCAAATAAGTTTATTAATTAGAGTCACTCTCAATTCAGACTTTAAATTAATTGTCCAAATTACAATTAAGTAATTAAGAAGATCAATCTTTGTATATCTAAAACTAGACAGAAAAAGGGCATTTAGATAATTTAAAAAATATTTTTCTTTAATACAGTTTGTATACAGTATATCAGTATATTTAATACAGTATATCAGCACTTTTATTTAACCATCCATGCTTAAAAGCAAATGATTATTTATTTCTATAACTGTTTATCTAATACTATAGCATTGTGATATAATAAACAAAACTTCTCCTCTATGGTAGCAAACTACATATTTACAAGTGTTATTGAAACAGCATAAATTTTCCAAGCATATTACAGTATTCTACAAATACAGCTCTACATAATTCAATAGGAAAATATAATCAATACTGTTAACAAATGCTAAGAAATCTTGATGACAGATTCAATAAAATTTTAAAATGTAACAGTAAAAAATATTCATGCAACATCACAATTTACACATATTCATTATTAACAATAATTATATTGAGGAAGAAATCCTATATACAAATATAACATGGAAAATTTGTTATTTTTTAAACTTCTTGTACTGTTAAAAAAGAGATTACTAAGAATAAATAATTAAAAACAATTATTAATATATAAAAAATAATACTTCCAAACAATATTTCAAATATCAAAATAAGACAGGTTTCTTAACATATTAATAGTTGTTGCCAGTTATAACACATCTTATCCAATGGAGACCATGTGCTTGAAGGAAAAATGCTTGTACAAATTTGTTCAAAGATCAAATCAGTTACATGGTTAACAAGCAGCAGAATGTTAGCAAAAAAATATTAACATTTTGTAAATTAAAACTCAATTTAACGCACTAAAAAAATTTATAACACAAAAATACACAAGCGAGAAAGAAAGATTAGATAAGAGATTAAGAAATTTTATGACACAAAAATACACAAATAAATATCATAAAAAGCAAGTACAAATTATTAAATTAAATCATAAATAACTTACTTCATAAAAAGTATGTTAAAAAAAATTCATCAGAACATGAAAATTAAATTAAACTAATAACATAATTTATCGCTCTTAAAATGTGTGAAGAGCACTTATTTCACAGAGAAAACTTTTGCTTGATCAAATGCTAATTTTATTGGGTTTAAGGGCCATATAAGGGAGCAGTGGGGCCACAATATGTTGGTACAACATTATATAGACTTCTTAGTGAGTTTAATGAAATTAAGGAACTTGAATGAAATGTTATTTATGTCCACTTTATAATCTTAACTTTAATTTATTTAAAAAAAATAAACTTTTAATATTATAATCTGCTCATATTACTAACAAACTAAAGGCCATCTTTTCTACTGTGCTAAAAATAAATACACACAAAAAAAATATTTAGAATTGTTTTTCGGGATAGGGAAAGAAAATTATAGGGGCTACAATAGCACAAAAATAAGGAAACTTAGGTAAAAAAAAATACTTATATCTTCAGATAATTGTAGATCAAAAATTATCTATGTTAATTTTAAATTCTCTCACACTGGTGTGATGACTTTGTATTCTAGTAAAAAAATATTAGACTTACAGCACTAGGGCACTTCACAAAAAAATATATATCTTTCAAATGAATAATTAATCCGCCCAAAATAATGATTTGATGATGAATTTATTTATTTAAAAACTCTAATTTATGTTTAAAAAACACTTTAAGTAACATTTATGAAAAAGATTTTTTTAAAGTGCTCTTTAAACCCGATACTAGCAGTTATGAGAAGTAGTAGAAGCTTTTTATGACTCAACTTAATATATTATAAGCAGATCAAACAAAGTAATTAATTAAAATAAAATAGTTTTATAATCAATTATGATTCAACACAAACTTAATAAAAAATTGAGTAAGCATTTATAAAAATAATACTTATAAATGTTGTAAATATGAATATATTTCATATTAACTAGAAATATGTATATAAATTAAAAATCCTGGTATTAGAAAATGAACAATCTAATTTAACAAAGCAAAAAATTATCTATAAAATACTATCCAACTCGCTTCTATAAAGTGAACACTGATTTTAAACTAATTCATATTTTGAAAATTTAAATTTTCATATCTTTTAAAAATTGTGATAAGAATTATGAGATTTTAAGAAACTGTCTGGTAGCATTCAATTTGAAAAAATAAGCAAATTTTAATAATGCAGTCGTATGGAAATATTCGAAAATCTTCTAATGAAAAAACTGTGCATATAAGTAATTTAAAAGAGGTAAGTAAGCCAATAAAAAACAAACCAAGGTTGCGTCAATGATCTAGAAGTTTTTGGTGAAACAAACAGTTCCCTTTAACTATGTCATCTTGCTTTCAGAATTAAATAAAATGTGAATTTAAGCTATTCCCTAAATAAAAGCATTACTCAAAATAAAATAACATTGGCCTCATTTCGTAAAATGAGAAAGCCATGATGAAGCTGCTGAAGGCCCTTACAAAAACCTCCTTCCGGAAACTAGAGTACTTTAGGTTAAGTCAAATTCGATGTAACCCTTAGTTTATTCGTAATAAAATAATTCAATGTATTCTTCATTACTCCCAGTAACATTAGACTTTAACTATAATTACTCACTGTATGTTTGATGCAAAACTATTGATACAGTAGGGCCTGTATTTAATGAGGGACTCTATAAACAGAAAAATGCTCCATAAATCTAGTCACTCACTTAATCTGAAGTCAAGGCAAGTACAAAAAATTAAACATACAAAAAAATTATGCAAATTTCTTCATTTCAATTACAAATTACAACATTTTTTTTTCTCTCTTGTCTAAGAGTTTCATAATTTCAACTATTTTCTTTTATGGTTAAAATATTTTTCCGCATTTTAAGTAGCGGAATAAAAGGCATGCTTCTAAGTAAAGGAAAAGACAAGGAACAAATTTTTCTTACATGTGACTCTGAAATCTAAAATATTTCTGAAACCACTCAGATACTTCTCATGATATTCAAACCCTCTCAACATTCTTTCCCTATCTTCTGACTACAACACAATGGACTGACTTGTTATCCAGCTTTGGTGGCATACATCCTTTATCAGAAAATTGCATCTGTTGTGGATGACTTTAAAAAGTGATTCACTTATTTTTAAATTATGCTGCCAAATATTTCACAATAATTATGTTCTAAAATACCTTTAATAATTTGAAACAATTCATAGTGTTCTGTGACTTTTTATCACTGTTTTTCTTTAGTTCTAATATCATGTCATGCTTCTAAATTTACTTTTATTGTTAAATCAAAGAAATCGTTAAATTGTTAAATCAAAAGTGAAAAAATTGCTTGCTTAAAGAGTAGACACATGTGACCAGTGAAGCAAACAAAACATTCTATTCTGCTTGTTAAATCTGAAATCTCATTAAATATGGGCTTGTTTTAATGGGCTCTACTCACTACTGTACTAAATAAAATGCATAATAAATTTAAAATCTGATATAAAATAATGTTGAATAAAATGTTCTCATTTTTAGTTTAGAAAGACTAGTCTGAATTTTATTTCATTGCTTCCTCAAAGGAAACTGACTAGAACCTTTTAGAATGACATTTCAAATAATAACCAAAGCTAATAAAAATAAAATCCATATAAAAATTACACATCATAATTTTAGATGCTATATTATATCAGTAAATGATTATCAAAGATTTTCAATATGAGTGAGAAATAATGATATTCAACTAATATTTCAGGCATATACCAACAACATGACATGACATAAAGCAACAACATGAATTTTGGCATTCACTAATTTTGGTTTCTCATAGTTAAATATATAGAAGTCATCCAGTTGACAAACTTTGATAGCATCATCCAGATTTTTTCTCTTTACTGTAACAAAAATTACTTTGATTTTCTGTAAAAATATAGAACACTCTATAATATTAACAAATCTGTTAAGTCTGTAACAAAAAATATTTTCACTTAAAGTGAAACAAAAATCTGGATTGCAGATTCAAAGCTTTCTACCAAGATGACACAATATGTTACCTGTTTTCATTAGAAGTATATATTACATCAAATGTAAACAAAAAATTTGCTACAAAATGGAGCTACGTCTATTTAAAAAGCAATTTTTAAAATTTCATGTGCATTTTTTTTACAATGAATGAAACATTTTGTTCTTAGATCTCCATAATTTTAGACAGACAATTGAGTTGCTGACATTGTCTATGCCATCATTGACAGAATAAAAAACAGCTCCACTTTTTATTCTTTTTTTTCAATAAATCAAAGATGTTACACTGTAAATTATGATAAATATGGAGTATAGAGTTTTTTACTCAAACTAAGAGTAACAATCATTACTGTTATTTCTTCATTAAGGATCACCTATTTACTTTTTTATATTATGTTGCAAGTCGACATATATCATGTATCCATGGAGCACAACTATCTAGAAAAAGTTTATTCTACTGTAGGAATCTGCTCACTCTACCTCTGTACAGGGTCAGGTAGAGTAGCTACTATTGAATAAATATATATATATATAGTGACTAGAATAAGCATATTTCATGTTAAGCAACAATTAAGTTTTCCTTTATTATTCAATATCCAAAAATAGTTAAGTTTAAAGTTTTTAAATGGGATAAAGTATCACATGATTTGTCATAAAAAAAGTTATACGAATGCAATAAATAAATTTGAATCATTCTTGATAGACTTTCTCCTAAAAATGACTGTCTAAGCAAAACAATAAATAAAATAAACATAATTATTCCTATAGTATATAATAAAAGATATAATTCTCAAGTAAAACCACTTGATGATCTTTATGATGATAATGATGTCCTGAAAAAAAGGATTAAATGCTTAATACCAAACAATATATTTCTCCAAAAAAAAACAAGTAAAATTTTTCTTACTTCTTTTCTAAGAAAATTTTCTAAAGAAGTCAGTCATTAAATGCATTAAAAAAACATCTACTACTACTTAATAACAGTATTTTAATCTAGAAGCTCAAACTCAAATGTAGGCATACTCAGAAGAATCTCTGACTTTAAAGAGCAGTTTCTCCACTAGAGCTAAAATAAATGAAAGACAAACTATTAATGCATAATAAAACTATACCTTATTTCAGCTAAACTTAACAAATTAGTAATTTGTCGGTATGTTATATTGATATGTTGTTCTCAGATTTTGAAACAGACATTATGATAAAACAAACATCTCCAGTAATTGCCATAACCATCTCCATAATGAATTCTCACATCAAGTTCAATTAAACAATAAATACTTATGAAATTTAATGATTACATCATTATAGAAGTACTTTACGTTTGGACAAAACAATTTATACATTTTTTATTAAGTGAAATGAATTATTTTTAATTTATACCATTATACAGAAAAATTTCAAAATATTATTTAATGCTGCATATTTGTGTTGTTTAAACAAGAAAAAATAAAACACTAGAACATTGTTATCCTTTTCATAAGTAAATCTCATTATCCAAATATTAACTGCTCTTTCTTTATTTTCCTTTTTCTTTTAGATTTCTTCTTTAACATGACAGTAACAACCAGGATAACTTTTTAGGAGAATTCTAGACCTAGTTATATTACTGTACCTAATAATAAACTTAAGATATGTGAGATAAAAACACTTGATATAACATAATTGCTTTCACTAATTCATTTAATTATAGATAAGAAAAACTAATATTTAAAATAATTTTCTTTTCAATTAAACGTAAATAATTAGGAAATTTGTTTCGCCAACAAACGGATAGCGTAATTCTCATTAATTTTATTTCAATGTTAAAAATTCTCATAACTTAAATAATGACACTAACACTAACTAAAGTTATTTAAACACAATTCTTCAGTTCTGTTCTATATTTTTAAATCATTTTTATCTAAAAATTAAAATATGATCATGATAAAAGTGTAAAAATAATAATCCCAAAATTTTCCACAATAAAAAGGCTAAAAAATTAAAGAACTTAGAATGAATGAAACAAAATGTAATATACTGTAATATATTGAGTGAAGATAAAATTCATTTAGTATCCAAATATATTATATTCTGAATAAATACCTATTATGAAAAGTTTTGGCAAACACCTTAAATTAAAAATTAAGTATCATTATTAGGCTATTTAAAACACCAGGAAATAATTTTACTGCACTTAATTTTTTTTAAAAATATGATATATTTCAATTCAAATCTAATACACACACGAAAACATTGTTGCAGAACTGAAATAGTGTCATATAACAATTAAATAAAATAATAATAAATATTTTCAATCCATCAAAAAAATTCAAAATCAATTTAGCATTTTTTAGTAATCTATCATCTAAAACTCATACCACAGATTCAAAATGTCTAGTTTTTTCAGTTGGAAATTTGTCTATAATTCCTTCAAAATTTGTCTAAACAACACAGTGAGTGCTAATTAGAACTAAACCATTTTAATCTTCCTTGACCAGTTTTGTCACATATAACCTCCCCAAAGTAGAAAATGTTCTTTCAGGTGTACAAGCAGGGATTTTTTTCTTAATATTAGTTCACATTTTGAAAAATATTTGAAAAGAACTGAAAAGGAAAAGAATAGGTAGTAAATAGAGGGTTGAAGGATGTAAAAGGAAGAGCTAGTGACAGGATGAAAGGCCAAAACCATAGGTTCCCAACCTTTTTAGTTCACCACCCACTTTGCAAGCCGTTTCATTTTTCAACTCCTCCTTATAAAAAGAAGCAAATATTTAAAAAAAATCATTAATAAAACTTTATCTAACTTTTAACATTATTTTATGATATTTTAAAAGTTAACAAAAGAAAATCAAATGTAAATTATATTTGAATTTCATCCCTTTGAATTATTAAATAAAGGAAAAAACTCATGAATTATACTGATAAAATAACTTAATAACATATTCAAAACTTTTATATAAATGAATTATAAATAAATTTTAAATTTTTAAATTACAAATAAACTTTAATGTTCTCGAATAACAAATTTTAAATTTAAAAAATAAACTTTACTGACTTTTTATTATTTTGTTTATTTTTTAGATATTTTTAGTACAAAATATTTTTTGTTTAGAAAAAAAGTACAAATAGTTAAGCTATTAAGGTAAATAAAGAAACAAAAACAAATGACTGAGAAACAATTTTATTTTAGGGGAGGTTGTATCCCGCAGACATGTGATTGCTGAAAGAAGAAATAATCTTAATTTTTTTTCACAATATACATTTTTAAGTACATAATTTCTTTCACTGTTTTGTGCAAAGACTGTCGTGATGCAGAAAAGAATATGTATATTGAAAAAATTACATATTCCTCCTTTTTTGCACTTAGCAAGTCGTCATGACATCAAAAAAGAAAATAAAAACTAGAATCTATGGCAATAACTGGAAATAAATTATAGATTAAACCAAGTGTATTTATAACAAAATCACACGAATCGAACGCATCAAAAATTGGTAAATTAAATCCTATTAGAAATATCAATTAATATCCTATTAGAAATATCAAGATTTGAATAAATATGCAAAAATAAGTAAGTAGTGATAACTGCCCAAATAATTGATAGAAAAAATCGCGTCAAATAGTGAATACTCAGGTGTACGATTTCAATCTTCCATATCACAATAGTATCGGGATTTTAAAGAGTTTGTAAAAATCAACAGCATTAACTGCCACAAAAACTATAAAAACAACACATAGATACAGCCCATCCACCACGTCAAAAAGTAATTACTCAAATGTACGAGTAAAATTTCTTGTTTCTTAATAATATCGCATGAAAATATCGGACCTTAATAAACCACAGGAACATCAGTAGCAATAATTTTAAAAACTTCTTCAAAAAAACTGTGGTATCGTTACGTCAAAAAGTGACTCATAAATGCACGAATTGAATTTTGCAAGTTGTAATAATGTATAAACAATACAGGGTTTTCTTTAAAAAAAATATTGAGAAAATTCCTAGCATTTAATGGCTGATAAAACGATTTTATCACTGCATGCATGCTATGGTATGGCGGAGAGCACTTATGATGGTATTCACTCTAATCAAGCAAATGAAAAAGTGATTACTTAAATGCGCGATTAAATTTTGCGTGCTGTAATAATATAGGAATTTTAAAACTCATACGAAAATCGATTGCATTAGCTGCAGAAGAGGGGGGTAATCAAAACACGGACTTAAAATGGTATTGCCTGCTTTGAGAAGTGATCTCTGAAATATCGTGGCCTTGTTGTATGATCATATTAAAAGATTTTTACAACTAATTGTAGGCAAATAAAAAAAAGAGGCGAATATATCACATTGATAAGATAATTCTTCTGTTACAAATAAACACAACAAAATTGCTACTCATTAAAACATAAATTTTAAAAAATGAGAGGGAAAAAAATAACTTTTTCTAGAGAGTAATTTTTTTAATGTTTGCTATTTCGGGAATTACTCTGTAGATTACAAATTTTATACTTTTGTGTTTGCCTCAGTTCATTAATTCTAGAAGTTATAGAATTTTTTTTCATTGATGTGATGTTGAAGTTTGTCCAAAGTTGTGATTTTCTCTAACAAATCTACTTTTAAAAAAAGTCGCGCATGACTAAGAACTTAGAAAAACAAAAAAGAGGGTACCGTTAAGGGTGGAATAAATGTCTCGTTCAAGAGAATTTCGAAAATCACGAAATTTAAATTTTAGATTAACGAAACTCTGAAGAAATTTTGTCAGAATACAAATTATTCATTTGGGGAAATCCGCAAATCGACGTTCATGAGATTCATGGAATTCTGCGAATTAGCGGGAGAATTAAATATCTGATCCTAAAACCCATCTGGTTACAACCTTGCTTTTTATGGTAATAAAAATCAAACAAATTTGAGGGTCATCAATCGACCTGATGAATGAGACATGATAATATTTTACATAAAATGAAATAAGCTATAAGTTTATAGCAATAAGTATCAGAATGCAAGTGCAAAAATAAAAACATGCAATATAAAGGCAAATTAGTTTACATTATCAAAAATCAAAACCAATGTAAATTTCAGCAAATAAATAGTTATTTTTCCTTGAAAAAATGAAAGGAAAAAAAAACAACATGCATATCCAAAAATTTAAAGCAGTGGCTCAGTAGGAAAGGTAGTTACTAGATATAGCTGGCACAAGCGATGTATACTTAAAAATCAGAAAAAAAATCTTACTTACAATTTTCATACAGAAGTAAACTTCTAAAATAAAGAAACTAATCTTAACTATTGAAAAAATATTAAGTTTAGCAACTCATGGGAGGTAAAATTAATAACAATGTTTTCAGTAAATGTTTATTAGTATTTTGTATAAAGCATTCATCATGTTTAGTTCACATAAATATTTTATAATTAGATTGATAAATATTTTATGATTAGATAAGTATTTTTATCTGAACTATGCAAGTCAATTAACAACAAATGCTTCATACTTTTTCAACTAATCACATAATATATTTATATATTAAAATATGACTCTCACCAAGTAGAGAGATTTATTTTAAAATAAGATTTTTATTTGAAAAAATATACTGATACAAAGTTTTCCAAACATACTTTGTAAAACAGTTAATTACAATAAGACAAAGAAAAAAATTTAAGATTGAAATTTCATATACTAACATTCAATTACTATGGCTTGAGTGAACACTTTAGATTTATAATGGATTCAAAATTTTGCCCTTCAAATTAAAGGGAGTGAAACTGCAAATCTGAAAAACAGGGTCCTAATTATGTTGTCAGGAGAGCAGTTGAAATTTTGATCCCCTTACTTTCACTTTTATTTCTTATGTTTTTTGTCATATTTCTGGAATTAAGTACACAAATCAAAAGATTGTTGCACACAATTGTAAAAAAAGTCTATTTAAAAGAAGTAAAATATATGCTTTACTGATTATTTGTTATTTTTTTATAATTTAATTTATAAATTTTTGAAATTATTATGAATTGTAAGATATAAAATATTTTACATTTTCCCAAATTGGTACAAAAGTTTTTTTTTTTAGAGGTTAAACTAATTCTAGAGTTATGACATATTTTCCTGATTGCAGTTACAATACATATTTTGATGAATAGAAATCTGGATTTGTCAAAATAAAGGTATATTTAATCAGAGAAAGTATGTATATGTTTTTATGTCTATAACTTAATTTCTAAGCAGCACTAACTAGACTTTTAAAGTCTACTTTTGGAACCATAAAGATAAAATCATATTTAATGGAAAATCTGATCAGTAAATGAAATATAAATTCACTTTAACTCTCATGAAATAGAATTTTACTTTTATATTTTTTAGTCATAAATCTAATTATTATAACTCGGAAGCTTGTGATGCATGAATCATAAAGATTCATGCCTCAATAGATGAAGAAAAGTGGGTATTGTATGTCTAGCATAGTTCAATAAAAAACTTAAAAATTATAGTTACGCAGAATAAATTTTTCAGACATATGCAATAAATAAAATTCAATGAACTTAAAAATAAAATTTAGTACTTACTAGTATAAAATTTGTCTAATAACATTTTATTTAGCTTGAAAACTAATTATAAACACAATCTTTCTAGTAATAAGTGAATAGAGTTAGAAGTTTTCAATAATGTTTAACCATTTTCTTTAAAAATATTATTTTCTTAATATTTTTACTTACTTTGCAAAATTATGAGGATTTTTCTCGATTAATTACAGAATTTTAATGTTTAAGAAATTTTTTTGATAGCTAAAAAATTAAATGTTGTAAGGATGGAATTAATTTATTTATGGGTTTTAGAATTTCAAGTGCCATTCAATTCCAAATTTCAATATTTATAAAAATAGAGATTATTAAGATATGAATATTATTTATATTTCATTTTGTTTAAAAAAAATTGCAGATAAGGACAAATTACGGAGCAAATTATATCCTTAAAGGTGCATCACTGATACTGAATGCCAATCTTGAGATTCAGCATTCTTTAAAAAATCATGAAATAAATTTTATAGTTAGGATTACAAATCATATTTACCTCTCCACTTCATTGAAAAGAAGCATGAAAGAAATTTTAACGCATTTAAAATAAAAACATACACTTTTATCTTAAGACTAAATCTAGTATTAATTATATAGTTCATATATATTACAAACAATAATGAAGAAAACTTGTTTTAAAAGGATCTTTATTAATTGACAAGAGCAAACTTTTGCTCATTCACAAACTCTCTTATTTAATGATCAAGAAATGAATAAAATTAAGATTTAAAAACAACATTGCATTCATGTTTAATGTCAACAAATGATAATATATATAAAATAAGAGTTGTAATAATAAGAATGAATAAAATATAAAAAATACTCTAAACAAACTCCATAAAACTTTTAGAACTTTAACAAAGTAACTACTCTTCTAATACTGTTATAACGATTAAAAAAAATTTCACTCACTCAGAATCACTTTCAGCTGTGGCTAAAGGAGGAACAGATTTTTGGAGAGGATTTGAAAAATTGCTTGGTTTTTGAAAGTAGCTAATGCTAAAAAAGTTACTTTGAGAATTTCGTCCATTTAAATTTATGGATATTGGCACTTCTTCATCACTTGGAGTATCATCTTAAAATAAATAGAAAATATTAAAAGTGCAACTGAAACAAAAATAACCATATGTCAAAGATAGTTACCCCATTTATGCCCATGTCATAATTTTTCAATGATATTCTATAAAATTATATTAAATGATGAGAAATGAACTGGAAAATTGCTTTAAATAACCATGAGTGGAAATTTTCTCTGTTGTTTAGAAAAGTCTAAAAATTCTCAAAGCTTAAAACAATGCAGCATTTTAAAAAAAACTACCAAAATATAGAACTGTGTGAGATTCTAATTTTTTTTTTATAAATTGTTAGCTGAATATAAATTAATCAATGACTTAATAATTACAGATACTGTAAAATACCAGCCAAGTTCCCACTCTAAGTTTGATAAAAATCCATGCAAAGTTAGGAGATAAATGGTAACAAGGGCAAAATTCAAATTTAAGAAAATGAAACGCTTTAATAAAGCAGAAATTTTGCTCACTTTAATTGAGTATAAAACAAATGAATGTAAAATTAGATCATTAGCTTCTTTCCTAAAATTAGACCTACTCTTCTTTTTCAAATTATTATAATTGCATCCTCAAAAGCAATTAGCAAGAAAATACAAATTCTTTTATAGAGAATAAACACAAAGAACAAAAGATTTAAGTTAAATATATTTATTTACAACAATTTCTAATCGTAATCAGTAAATCTTTTAAATGATGTTCCTGACTCCAACTACCATGGATTCACTGTAGTTTCAGAAAGAAAAATTTCCAAGTGGTTGCAAGGTTATGTATTTATAATTTAATAAATTAGAATTAAAAGAATTTTGTCCATTACTGAACACAAGTAATTAAAACAGATACTTATAAAATCATATAGACAAATGCTTAGGTTCTAATATTTTTTTAAATATCTGTTTGTTTTAAAAAAAATCTGATTTAGTTAACTATGTACAACTGAAAAAATTAGTTCGTAACTACGCAGAATCCATAGTAGCTAGAGTTCCTGGAAATCATATGAGTGCCATAATACGAATATAAAGTACGTGAATACGAATGACGATATTAAACTGTAAAGACACGTGACTGCAAATCACGATATTAAATTTTAAAGACTTAAGAATACGAATTCCACCGTTTGATTCTTAAATCGCCTGAATTTCAGTCATTATATCTAATTTCGAAATCGTGTGAATCAATACAAATCACAAGGTATAAGTTTCAATGTTAAAAAATTTAAAACAAAGGATGAATACAAATTGCACTGTAGGACTTTCAAATTGTGTAAATAAGAGTCATGAAGTGTTATTATTTAACCACATGAATACAAATCATTGCATTAGATTTTTAAATCACTTGAATTTGAATCACGATGTTAAATGTTCGAAACTCAGGGATCGAATATCGATAGTTGATTTTTAAAATTGTGTGGATGCTCTTGTTAATTTAAGAAAAGTATCCACAAAATTTACAAATTTCCTCAGGTGTATACTTGCACAGCCTGAGTCTACATTATCGAACTCTAGATGTGGGAGGTGAATAGGGGCTTGCTTGCTTTTGGTTACTGGTCAATATTCACGTGAGATTAAGAGTGAGGGCTTAATTGAATCTTGTTTGGTATTGTACAGTAAACAATTTTTTTTCTAAAAACTGTGAAAAACTTACTTAGAGGGTCATAAAAATTTTTAAAAAAACTATATTTATATTCAAATGCTTGATACATACAGTCATTATTTAAAAGAAAAATACTTAGAAGTAATTTATGTCAAATTTAATTCAGAAATAAATTCCTACGAGCTTATGATGCATTTTTTGAACTGTTGCCAAAACAAGTACAGTCAAGCATTGGGCACTAATGGGTTATATTAACAATATATATTAAGTACCAATTAATCGAGGAGATGTTCGGTCTAAATAAGACCCTGTATCAGGAGTACTTTGAGTACACACAGGTGATACTTCACTTTGAGGCATTGAATCAATCAAAGCATCACCAGTTTCCTTCATAGGGCTTGCATTTGCTATACTTCTTCGGAGCTCATTATTTGAAGCAGTTTTTCTCAATGAAACATTAGTGCTAGGCAAACTTTTAAAAGGTATTTTTTCTTTTAATACAAATTTCATGTTTTCATTTGATTGCAAGGTATTATGAGAGAGTTTGTGATCAGAGCTAAGTAATTTTTCTTTTGATGCATGCACCTTCTTTTGAGGATCAGATGTTTGTTTTGAATATTGAGAAAATTCAGTACTACTATATGTATCTTTAGAGAAGCTTTGAGATCTACATGAAGAACAAATTCCAGTCTTAATAAAATCAGGCTTTAGATGAAAACTACAATCTAGACTATTGGTTTCAGCTAAAATATCAGAAATATTTGATTTTTCTACTCCTCTGATTCCCATTCGTGGAGCATTGGAACAAACAGGAGCAGATAAAGGTGATGATTTTTGACTTCCCCAACTGAGACTCGGATCTTTTGAGATTTTAAGTGATAATGAAGTTTTACTTAAAGGTGATCTTGAGCCAGGTAGTCGGGGATAAGAAAATATATTTACACCCATTTTAGGACCTGGTGAAGTAGAATACTCTGAAAAAAAATTAACACAATATCAGAAGAAAGAAAAATCATAGCAATGAACAATAGTTTAAAAGAACACCCTTTTAAAGAATAACTATCTGGTGTCGGACACATATACATAGTTGTCAACTCCTCCCACTTTTGATGTAAGTTAACTGAAAAGATAGCAAATAAGCTTTAACATTTGATTGGTGAAATTAATTTGATTTAAAATAATTTTGAATACCATAACAAATAAATAATTCCAAAATAGATACAAAATACCTGATAAATTTCCTTTTTTAGGAGATGATGGGACTAAAAAATATTATGCTCATCATAACTGTCATTTCACATTTCAACTAGTTTTTTTCACTACCACTTTAAATATTGTTGAATGCTAAAATGTTGGAGTTGATAAATATGCATATATGAATAATTCAGTGCAAAGTTAAAAATAAAATGTTAGTGACTCATTAGAAAATACTGTTTATAAAACACATTCTTTCATTAAAAACTATCTAATCTAATAAACAGGAAGAAAAATTAACTCTTATACATACAGCTGATCCCAATATTTGTACTGTTTTGGAATGTCACTTTTTTCTTCTGTATTATGTGTGGATTTTACTTATGTGTCTCAGTGTATTGATTTGGGCTTATATATATTGTTTAATATGTGACTGTTCTACAATAAAAGTGTTGAAATTTGGTTATATATAATAGAAATGCCATTAATAAAGCAATATGTTATCAAGGAGAACATTTAAAACTTTAAAAAGAATATACAAATATTATTATGGTGAATGAAATGTCACTTCCTTCTCCATAAGGACTATCCTTCTTATGTTTCCTTTGTTTGCAAGCAAGGAAGAGTGACTAAACATTCAGAAATGCTTGCTTTCCAGAACTCTTAAAAGTAACTGAGGAATATTAAATAAAAAGTATTATAAAAATAATTATTTATTTGTAAAAGAAAAATTATCCTTACAACGCATACCAAATAACAGTCTTGCAAGTTTTATGTGAGACCCATGTAAACAAAATTACAATTGCCAGAAATAAGGAGAGCGAAGTTTTTACAACATTCAGATATTATTCAGAAAAAGCACAGTATAAGAAAATATAACTTACCAGAAAATTTCAAATCGTCAAAAGAATTGCTTATTTCTCCAGCAGAAGCTTGACTGCTAGGAGTAGCAATATGATTTCCATTCAAAATATCATCTGCATAACACCTTTTATTATCTATAAAACATGCATTAGTGTAATTTTATCATGAATATCACCTAATTTACTAAGAAGTGATTAATTAGTTTCAAACTTACATCTATGGAAGAAAAAATTAAAATTATTTTTGTTACATAATTTAAAATTAAGAAAAATTATAATTAGGAACTTTTTTAACTTAATAAGCATTCTGATGAATTAGCAATATATTTCAATGAAATATTGAAAAAGCAACTATATAAAACTGAACAAATATGCAATATTTTTAAATTCAATTTGTGAGAGTAAAGCAGAGAATCTATAAAATATGAAGTTCATGAAGAAGATAAAGGAATGCATGCATGGTTAAAGTAGTGTTGCGTGGGACACACAAATCTCTAAAAGTCGCTAGTTTTTGATAAAATAATGAATTTTACTTAATAATATGCTCTTGTTATTATAATAAACTAATTTAAAATATGTCTCTTACAGAAACAGTTTCATTTCATTTTATATGAAAAGCATGAAAAAATATTTTTAAAGCATCTAAATATGCACATCTGTTCTAAAAAAGAAGAAAAAACTAATTCAAAAAAATAAATGCAAAACATTTTATAGACAGAAAAAAATGAGGTAAAAGAAAGTTTTCTATTAACATTTATTTATTAAATTCAAGTAATTCCTTTGCACATAATAAAGCATTCCTTACAATGGCTGTGGAACTTTAATATATACAATAAGAATTGAACACCGTGGGGAATAAAGATTTATGTCCATGAAAGCTGATTCTGAGAAAAAAAATAAATTAGCCAACAAACAGGTATTATTTTTCCCTAGCAGGACCTATCTTGGTAGTAACTCTCAAAAAGAATCAAATTTCCATGTTACTGATTTGTCAAAACTCAGTAATCCTCAAAATGTAACGTATGGTTAATGGTCAGTTTTTGTGAAAAATTGACATAAGTTCTTGACCCTTTATCATCAAATTTAATAAAATGCATAGTTGCAGTTTTAGTATAATTCATTCTAGCAAAATATTACGTAAAAATCATTATACTGTGGAAAACTAATTTTTTTTTTGCTAATACTTTCTCAACAGATCTGCAGAGCAAAATTTTTTTGTATTTTTATTTATTTATTCTTTTTTTTTAAAAAAAAGAAAAACTTATTGCTTGTTAAACTTGTTTATTTTGCTTGTTAAAAAGTGACAAAGAAAATAAAAGTTTCTGTCAAATGGACATCTAGATATGCGACTTTGTACAGCATAATATTAAATAATCCATGCATGAATTTACGTTTATTTATTATCCAAGTAAACAGCAATACAAAGCCTTGAGCAAAATCAAACAGAAAAGTTGTTGAAATTTCAAATTAAGCAATTCAATTCTCCCCGCATTAAACTCTTTATCAGAATCAAACTAATAATTTCTAACTAAGCACTATTTTCCCATAAAATGAAAGGAAATGAGTTATTTGATACAGGAAAGCCACCAGCTTGAAAAGGAAATTGCCTTGCCATTGAGTTGAATACACTTTGAACAATTGTAATATTGTAAAATTGTAAATCACAATATTCATAATTTAGTTTAATAATAAATTTTTTTATGATTTATTATTATAATCCTTATATGATTTATATTATCTTCTACTGTAAAACAAATATGAAATGAATATTCTTGTTTTAAACAAAAATCTTTCTCCTTTCTTTATGAAATCAATCAAATTTTAATATTATCCTAACTATCCAAAAAAAAAAAACTTTTTTACAAAATTTACAAACATCTCTTACTTTCAAAATCACTGTTTTTCAATATTGGATGATATATTTTTCCATGTTTACAACACACTTCTTTGTTAGATTTTGTTTCCTCAAAATGTGAAGTCGATGGTTGATTATCAGATACCTTGGGTTCTGACTCAGCTCGATAGTGGCTAGAGCACGTTTTAGTAGTTGACCTGCTAGTAGCAGATGATGTAGAAATACCAATACTCCTGTGGTATACCTTAGACGAAGACTGATATACTACTGTATTCTAAGAACAAAACTATGGTTAACTAAACATTGAAGCAATAAAAACTGAAACACAAATATTAACGCATCAAAATGTTTTAATTAAAGGTAATAACCAAGCAAAATGCTTAAAGAAGTTTAAAAAGAATATAATTTAGACAATATGAGTAACTGAAATTTAACTATAATTGTAATTTATGTAATAAAATATTTTGAAACTACAATTATAAATTTTTTAAACTTTGATCTCATCTATAAAAATTGTATGACAAGAAATATGTTACTAATTACTTTCTAGCAAGAACATAAAATTTACACGGAAGTTTGTTTTATCTCTCAAGAAATTATGTTAAATAACTTCATCTTTCTTCGATCTATGAGGTGTTTTCAGAAAGTAGAGATACTTTTATAGCTGCAAAGGAAAAGTATCTGGTAGTCCGTTGGCAACACGGACTGTAACCTGGAACATTTTGCTTTTCCCCTCAAGGTCATTAGTAAGTTTTACTGTGAGCCTTGTTTGAGCAACACGTCTTTATAACGTCTGTGTGATATGAAGTGCGTCCCGTAATATGTTTTCTTCATGCAAAATGTGAACGTTCAATGGATATTCATAATGAAATTCTTTCCCTCTATGGAGACATTATGAATTGATATAATGTGACGAAATGGTATTGTGCTTTCTTTAAAGATAGGACTGATGCTCATGATGATATCAGAACAGGTAGACCATCTGTGATTGCTGATGCCATGCTTCAAAGAACAGAGAAAGCAATTGAAGCAAACAGGCATCTCACATTAAAATATTTCCTATAAATCATACTGGAAGTGTATGGCAACTATTTATGAAGCAGTGACTGTTACCTTAGGGTACCAGAAATTGCGTGCATGATGGGTTCCAAAATTGTCAATGAAATAACACTAAAAGAAAAGGGCAGAATATGCACTTAACTTTTTCACACATTAATGCAGAAGTAGGTGATAAGTTTCTTAATTACATGGTTATAAGTGATGAGACTTGGGTTTATATCTACACACCAGAATCCAAACAATCAATGCAATGGCTCCATACAAATTCTCCAAGAGACAAAAAATTTAAATTTTCAATTTCAGAAAAAAATCACTACTTCTGCTTTCTGGGACATACAAGTCATTTTTCTGATTTACTTCATGCTTACTAGATCCACAGTTAATGCAGAGGCAAATTGAGAGATTTTGAGATAACACAGGGCCTTGCTGACAAGCAAAGTTTGCTTATTGAATAACAACACTCATCCTCACACTGTGCTTCAAATCTACAAAAGTTTCAAAGGGAAAACTTTAGATCATCCACCATAGAGCACAAACCTGGCACCCAGCAATTTTCACTTATTCCTTTTCCTAAAAAACATCTTGCAGGGCAAAACTTTCATAAAGGTGATGAGATTACAATTGAAGTTGAAATGTGGTTTCAACAACAGGCACCAAAGTTCGATGACTATGGAATACGAAAACTTGTACCCAGACTTAACAAATGCTTTGACAATAGCGGCAATTATGTCAAAAAACAAGGCATGTAGCAGTAAATTATTTGTAATGTACATTTACTCAATTAATTTTTTTCATGTGAGTGAGCAACATTCTATCTTTTTATTTTGAAAACATATTGTATATTATCTCTTTGGCGAAGTTTTCAAGTTTCTATTTTCTTGTTAATTAGGGAATTTAAATTTTCTACATTCTTTCTTTCCCTTTTTTCCCACGCTAATGCTCTTTTTTGTATCAGATAAATATAATAAAAGAAAATTGCAACGACTAAATTATTTTCAAAATAAGGAAAATAATAAATTTTACTTTATTCCGATAAAGAATAAGAAAATATTCATCACACTTAAAATCTTTTAGAACATAAAACCAATTATATTGAGAATAAGAATCTAGTTTATTGTCATTGAATTATCTTTTATTGTGCTATTTAGTAAATTATGAATTAAAAATTTTTAACAACCAGTAAACCAAACAAAATATTCATTTTGCTAAAAAATTTTCAGCAAATTATTTATTATACAAATTACAGTTTAATATAATTCTAAAATATACAAAATCAGCAAAATTTTTATTAAATTAAGATCCTGAGTGAAATTTGTAAAATCCAGAATATAATTGGAATGTCTGGTACAAATGGCAACCATGATTTTATAAGCTTCAAAGAATATTATTTTAATAAAAAAAAATTATTTCTTGTAACATAGCTTTAATAACAAAAAAAACCATAACACTTTTAAAAATGCATATTTTATTCCAAACTAGGTATTACGAAATCATTTACAAAAAGACTTTCAAATAATGTACAGACATTATTTTATGTTGAACATGAAGTGTCCAAAATTTAAAAAAAAAATAAATAAATAAAAAAAACTTTTCAGATTTTCAAGAAAAAAACACTCTACTACGTATTTTAAAGAGCTTACCTAAAGACATGCTAATTTACAAATATATTATAAAATGACTAAAAGATACTCAAAAATGTATTTTTACAAAATAAATCTATTTTTTCTTAAAAACAGCATTAGTTTTTCAAAGCTAGGTCATCAATCAATCAATAAGAGGACTATAAATGTATACCATGCATATACAAAGCTCAAAAAAAATAAGGGATTTCTTTTAGATTATTCAAATTAATTATTGCATACAACAAATAAAATTATAATCATCACTTTTTTAAAGCCATTTAAATTTAACAAAAAATAATTTTAATACCAAAATAAATGAACAAAAATTCTTTGCTCATGAAACAAAAATATATTAATAAATTTAGCAATTATAGCTTACTGTGCAAGATTTTACTCCATTGATTTCAGGATATTTTTCATTTTTAAAAACTCGCAACCACATAAATCGAACTTGTTGCTGCACCTAAAATTTAAAACAGTAAATGGAGGTCAATGGCTGTACATTAGGCATAGCTTCTAACTAGTATGATCATTGAGAAAACTTTTTCTTAGAGAAAGCATCAAGCAATATTTGTTTTAATATATAAATATTGTTTTTTAAAGTTTTTAACAAAAATGTTTTAATGACCAGGAAATCAATTACTTTAACGTATGTATAAAAGATCTAATAGTTTGCTAGCATGCTTTTACATGTTTTAAAAATTAGCTGAATTTTTCTTCATACTTTAAAAATTATTTTACTACCAATAATAAAATCTTTTTTCTAACAATAGTAAAAGCTTGTAGCTACGACTGGATAAAAAATGAGCATTTGAGCACTTAAAGAAATTTGTTTAAACATGTTTACTTATTACCAATTATCAAACCAAATATTGCTGTAACATGTTTACTTATTACCAAACAATTATTTATTTAAAATTATTAAATGTTTCAAAAGATATTTAAGCAAGTATATATTTTCATAAAGATAGCTGGTTGCTAAATTATTGGGGAACTTCTATGTTAATTTTCTAGAAACTGTTTTTGTCTTTTGTGGTAGTGGCTTTGATAAAATTTTTACTCAATAATAATAAGTAAATTTTTAATGAATTGTGATCAAGCTCATGGAAATTATATTATTAATGTCTACATAAAGTCTTGATTAATTAGAGTAAAAAGTTTAAATATGGGTTCCAGTATAAAAATTTCAAAAATACAATGGAGTCCTGATAATATGAGTCTCAATAATTTAAGTTCCTTAATCCAAGGGAATTACTCTTGCATCATAAATGATATCTTATAATACCTTTTATCCAAGTTGGCCATTGTGGATCACTAGATTAGAGTAATTTATGTGGAGATGAGTATGTTAAAACTAGGATTTTGGAATGTTACTTTTTTTGTGTGTGCAAATAGGACTATAGCTAAATCAGTATAAACATTTTAATGAACTGTGATATAATAGAAAATCATTTAAATTATTATTTTGAGAATATAACATTTAAATTTTAAATTGTTATTAAAATAAAAAACATATTTTAAACTTTTCCAGTTCACTAAATTAAGTTTAGATTCTGTAGTGACATGAATAGTAGCATTTCTTGAAAGTTGGGCAATAACCTTTCAAACTAGAAAAACAGTTTTAACACATAAAATATTTCATTATTTCTATAGTAAGAGAAAAAAACTAAGAGGTGTCAACGTATAATTTAGCAACACTCTACAAATATACTGTTAACTTATTGAACTGTTTCTATTTCTAATTTTTTGGAAGCATCTGAGCATATGTTGTGAAAATTTTTTATAAATTAATTGAAAATGTTAATTTTTATTACATTAAGATGCATAGAATATTCTTGCCACCAAATTTCAAATATTTTGGAGATTTAATTTTATTTTTATGTAAAATTAAACATTCCTCTGTTTTGTATGCTAAAATCTAAATAACTTAAAACTCTTCCATCCGAATACATCCATTAACAAAAGTCTATTTCTCAATACGTTTTTTCTTTTCTTTTTTTACACAATTGTAATTTTCTATACTTCTCATTTCGCAATACAGCACTGCGATTCAGTGCCACAAAATTTTAGCCTTTTTTCCCATATTAATTGAGTATGCTAAACAAATATTTTAGACATTCACCAGTGAAAGTCGACTTTCTCCATATTTTGGTCATTCACAGTATCATATAAATATATATGTTACGGTGAAACATCGAAATCTGGTGAATGTCGACATTCACCGGTGAATGTCAACATACACATAGTCGCTTAGTGTATGTCCGAAATATTTGCAAAGTACCCCTATTTCTGACTCTCACCGGTGAATGTCAACAATCACATAGTCACTTTGGTGAATGTCCGAAATATTTGTTATATCCCATTTTATATTAATTTATTCATTAATACTATTATATTTATCTGATATATTTATATTTATTCTATATTTTAATACTTACTGACGATAGATTAAAAGAAACATCAGTGTTTGGAGTATCGGGCAAATATATACCGGGCAATGGCACTTGACCTTAAAAAAACATCAGTGTAGGGTATACCGGACAAATGCATACCGTGCAGTGGCACTTAACCTTAAAAAAGCATCAGTGTAGGGTATACCGGGCAAATGCATAGCAGACAGTGGCACTTAACCTTAAAAAAACATCAGTGTAGGGTATACCAGGCAATGGCACTTAACCTTAAAAAAAACATCAGTGTAGGGTATACCAGGCAAATTTATACCAGGCAGTGGCACTAAACCTTAAAAAAAACATCAGTGTAGGGTATACCGGGCAAATGTATACTGGGCAGTGGCACTTAACCTTAAAAAAACATCAGTGTAAGATTAAAATATCGAATAAATGTAATTATATCCACGAATAAATTCATGTCAAATCGAATGTAATAAATATTCCGGACATTCACCAAAGCATATCTGTGATTGTCGACATACACCAGTGAGGGTCCGAATGTACAAGAATGAAATGAAATATTCGATCTTTCACCGAGGTTTTTGGTGTTTGTCGACACTCACCGGTGAAAGTCAACAACCACAGATTGCTGTCTTTCGCCGTGACATATATATATATTGGGTTGTTCGGAAAGTAATTTAGTTTTTTGGTGGGAAAATGAAAGACAATTTTCGCATAATGAATGAATATTTTATTAAATTATTTATTGGCCATTCTTGTCCAACACCTTTTGCCATCTTTCTGGTAGTAGAATGATTCCACACACATAAAATTTTTGGTCTTTGCTGGCAAAAAACTGATCCAGGGGAATTTTGACCTCTTCATTTGAAGTAAAGGTTTTACAGTCCAAAAAATTTTGAAGTGATCGGAACAAATGATAATCCAAAGGCGCCAGATCTGGAGAATATGGTGGTTGTTGCAGTGCATCCCATACAAGCTGTAAAAGCTTTTGGCGAGTGATCAAACTTGTATGAGGTCTCGCATTATCTTGATGGAGCACTGTTACCTTTTCTGTTGATTAATTCTGGCCTTTTCTGTTGAAGAGCATCATTCAGTTTGTCCAATTGACGACAGTAGACTTCCGAATTAAGTGTTGTGTTATCCGGTAAAAGCTAAAAAAAACTATTCCTTTAAAATCCCACCAAACAGACAGCATCATCTTTTTTTGATGGATATTGGCTTTCGAAATGAGCTGGTTCATCGTTTTTGCTCCATGCTCTCTTGCGTTAGACAACTCATTTTTCGTCCCCAGTAATGATGCGCTTCAAAAATGGATCATTTTCGTGACGTTTGAGAAGCGAATCACAGACGTCAATGTAACGACGCAATTTTCTCTCAGTGAGAACATGGGGAACCCATATATCGAGCTTCGAGGTTAAACCCAGGCCTTTCAAGTGGTCATAAACAGTTGAATTTGATAAATTTAAACTCTCACCGATCTCACGAGTTGTTATTTGCCGATTTACATCAACGAATGCCTTTATCGTGTCTTTAATAGCTTCAGCGGGCTTTACAGAACGTGGTGCATCTTCGACATCAAAATTGCCGGATCGAAATTTTGCAAACTAATTTTGGCACTGGTGTACTGTCAACGCATCTTATTCATACACATCTGTAAATTTCTTTCTGACATGAACAGCATTTTTACCTTTTCTATAGTAAAAAAGTAAAATATGACGAAAATGCTGTTTATTGCTCTCCAAATTTAAAAGGGCACCAACCAAAAACTACTGCGTAGAATTAATTGAACTTCCTCACACACAAGCCTTGCTATATCAGCTCTCAAAACATATAATGATAATGCGGCTTAAGTGCGAAGTTGAGTTCGAAAAAATACAATTAAATCCTCTGTCGGAAAAATGAAATTACTTTCCAAACAACCCGATATATATATACGAATAGTAAAGTAGTAACAAAAATAAAACTCACTTTTCTGTTAATAACACAGTAGCCAATGAATATATAAATTCCTTCCAAAAGACAAAAAAATGCAAAAGCATATTGAAGTATAGCATGAGTTTCATTTACAGATAAAATTGCAAGTACCCAAGTTGATCCTTGAATAGGTAAAAGCATAATAGCTAACCAAAGCAAGGTCCTGAAATAAAAAATATTACATAATCAAAATTAAAATTTATATCTTTAACCACTAATTTTTTAGACTCTGCATGCAACAACTAATGCAATTTGTTTAGAGTTTAGCTTATTTGTGAGAAGAAAAATAATTTTTTAATTACTTTTTATGTAATTAAAAACAGTTAATTTATATCCATTAAATATTTTTAAATTATTTTTTTAATTTTAATTATTTTTAACAATAGAATTATACTTTAAAGCAGCTTTACTAAAAATTTAAATGGGCATCCAACATGAAGAAAAGGATAAACACTGAGCTAAATGTAAATTAACACTAAAATGTCAATCATATGTCAGAAAATATCTAAAGATTTCAGCTTTTTTAAGATTTTTTCCTTACGTTAAAAGTTATTCATAAAGATTAAACTCAATCATAAGAATGATTTATTCTTTATAAAAATTACAGCCTTCCATCTATCTTGGCTGTTTAAACTAACCCTTTTCTACTGTTTTCTTTCCACGGCAACACTTCAGAAATTTTTAATGCTCCGAATTTTAAAATCCTTTTCATTATTATTCAGCCAATGGGGTAGTGGGTATTCTCTGGCTTGAGATCCTAAAGGCTTTTTAGAGGCAAGATCTCAGAAAACTTTACCATACATAGTTTAACTATCTGAATTTATTACCCTGGAATAGTTGCATTACTTATTCTTATTGTGATACTTACTAACAAGATTTGGGAGTTTTATTTCATAATTTGCATTAAAATAATTAATGAATTTCACTGTGTTTCAACTTTTGTTGACGTGATATAAAAATCACGTTTAATATTCAAGTAATTTAAAAATCTCACCATGCAATTTTGAGCTTGCTAACGATTTCTCATTCATTAAAATGGAAGTGATTGAAAGTTTCTCAGTCAAAAGAAATTAAATAATGTGTCAATGAAATGAAAATAAATTTAATAAGAACAAAAAGAAATCAAAAAATTTCAAAAACAATCATTTTCAACAAACTTAATATACAAATCTAAACCACATAAACATAATCATTTTATAATTATAATCAATTGTTTGCAAGCTTTTTTATACTACATGATGCATTTCTTCTGCCATTTCCATACACTTCAAAAAGCACACAAGTTAATGATTTAAAATCCCAAGCTCTGCAAATTTTAGAGAATATACTGCAGGCATGAATAGAAAAAAGTATTAAAGTATTGGATTACAAAGTATACAGACATACCAAAAAAGATCCTAAAGCGAATCACAAAGCTGAAGAGGATTAATAAGACAATTCAATCTAAATGGAATTATATTAAATTTATTGGATAAGCTTAATTAAATATACTTACTTAAGATTTCCAAAATCGGTTATTGAATCTTTGCAGTGCAAACTTGATTTTAAAGCTGATAGAAAAACTATTAATGTCAGCTGAAACAAAAATTTATTGATTTAAAAAAAAAAAAATTAAAATTATGAATAGTTTTAAGTGAAAAATATTTTTAAATAGAAAACTATATTTTGATCTAATTTGAATGAAATATAAAAAATTTATAAAGGAAAACACTTTAATCTTTTATTTAATTTGATCTAATGTTAGATACAAAACAATATTTTAAAGAAACTTGATAGACAATTTTCAAAATTACTAAAATCTTTATTTCATCTAATTTTTATTTTTTAAATAAAAAACCATGTTTTGCGAAGTTCAAACGAGACAAAAACAAAAATAACTCATTATTTTATCTATTTTAGTCCATTTTTTAAATACAAAGCTATGTTTTGAAAAGTTTGAATGACAAGTTTCAAAATTTCTAAAAATGTAGCATCCTTACACCAATTGTTAAATAAAAACTAATATTTTGAAGGTATTTGTAAGCTATTTTTACTTATAAGCTTATAAAATTATATTTAAGAAAAAGATACAATTTTTTTATCCAATTCTCAATAATCTACTTACTATAACAATAATGCATATTGGTCCAACTAAGCTCCATACAACATTTTCATGGACAGAAAGCCAGCAACTATAATAGATATATTACTATTACAAATATATTCTATAAGACAATGAAATGCAAAATTAAGGATGGCCAGAACAGTGATGATTTTTCTTAAATAACAGAAACTCGGCCAGCAGGTTATTTGGTTTGCCTAGTAATTACAACTGTTTGGTATTCAGCAACTAAATATTTTCTTTTCATTAGCGTATGTCTTTAAAAATTCATTATTAATATGTTTTCAATGATAATGAAAATTTATTTAATCTTAAGCTTATAATTAAATATTTCCTCATGCATAAAAAAACAGGCACAAATGATGTATTTACTTGAAATATAAGGAAATCATCTAAAAAAAAAGTTCTTTTTTGTGTGTACTTTTTTTTATTTTTAAAGTTTCCTAAAAAGAAGCATGTGGCAAATTCTTAGATGGTTTCAGAATATTATATGCAGCTATATTATTCAAAATAATACTGTTCAAAAATAAAATAGTATAAGTAATATTATTACAAAAATTATACGAATGATTTCTAAGCAAATATTCTTTAATAATCTGGCTTTANAAAAAAGAGTTTTTTTTTTTTGTGTGTGCTTTTTTTTATTTTTAAAGTTTCCTAAAAAGAAGCATGTGGCAAATTCTTAGATGGCTTCAGAATATTATATGCAGCTATATTATTCAAAATAATACCGTTCAAAAATAAAACAGTATAAGAAATATAATTACAAAAATTATATGAATGATTTCTAAGCAAATATTCTTTAATAATCTGGCTTTATTTTCTTTTATTGTTATTATTAGTTATCTTACATCTAATTGAAATCTCAGGTATCATTGAAACTATGATATAATAATGGAAAAATATTTCTAACTTTTTTAGTTTCGGTGCATTAATAAGTAAATTTTAATTTCAATTGTGAAAGAAGTAAACATGGAATTGCTTTGCAATTTATAAGAAAGTATAGAAACCCTAATAATAGTTATAGAGCTTTTATCTCATTAATTTATTATTAGTAGCTATTCATTTGAAACAAAATAAAATATTCGAAAATATCTGCTGATTTTACAATTGTAACAGAATAGGATTGCTTGATACTCTTTTGCAAAATATAATACAGCTTTTAACTCATAGTTTTGTATTAATTCAATTATTTAATTTTAAATTACTATTTATTGATATTCAATTTAATATATCAGTGGAAAAAGAAATTATTTAACCAGTTTATCAGCGTAACTAAATGTTTAAAGCTAGTCATAGAGCAGAAACCTATTATTTGGTACAACCCTATACTGTACTAGTAAGCAAGTTTATGAACTTACAAGAAATGATTTCCGTATTGATCAACACTCACACCAACAGATAATCCAACTATTAGAGCAGGTCCACCTGGAAAATAAAAATAAATGTGAAAATATTACTGAAATACTCTAAAATATGTTTTGAAACGATTTTATATGGCAGTTATAACAGAATATATATAAATATTAAGCAGCTGGTTGGAGCTTATTTCGTAATGTAATTTAAAAATTGTCAATAATAAGATTAAAATCATTTTTGTTCATTCTACACATAAATAGGATGTTCGACAATCAAAAGCTCCTTATTTTATTATGATCATAAAAGTAAAATATTTAAAACAATCATCGGTATATATAAATATGAAGAGCTTAGTGCAAGAACAGGCTAACAAGAGAAACTAGGGAAGTGTGACTCGCCAATTTTGAAATAAACTAGTGGGATGTATGCCTTATGAGGAATAATTTTAGGGGGCAACATTCGTTTCGGCCCATAGAAGGTCCTGTGAGAGATAAAAAATAATTCAATATATAGAAAAATCGGTATTTTATTACTTCAATGCAGACTATTAGTTATTGTAATTGTCTCATACTCCAATTAATTTGTAATTACTTGATTAATTAATTAGCAATTAATTAATGAATTTGCAATTACATACTCCAATTAATTAGAAGAATTTTTTGAAGAAAAAAAATTTTAAAAATTTGATGTCAAATTTTTTTTTAAATTAATGTAACAGGTTTTTCTGAAAAACTACAGATATATAAAATTTTTGAAATCAATTTTGACAATAAATATGCATTATATAGCACCTGAAAGTACCACAAAATTAAAACTTCTTCACTTTGACTATTATCGGATGTAATTCTCCTCTTTTTAGGTTCACTACCTTCATCACTTTCTGAAACAATTTTTCTGCTCTTGGTTGGTCTGTCTTCACCACTCTGACTGCCATCACTTGCTCCTTTTCCTCTGTTAGATGTTGCATTACCACTGGCAAAATCTTCACTTCCACTATCAGAAGCAATTTTCCTCTTTTTAGGCCCACTGTCTTCATCACTTTGACTAATATCGCTAGCCCTTGCTTTCCTTTTTCTTTTAGATTTTTCTTTTCCACTGTCAGACTCCTCACTTGATGAAATAGTTGCTTTAGAAACGATTCTGCTCCTTTGCTTGGCAGTAAGGCCATCTTCTATCTGTTTCTTTTGCTTGGATTCTCTATTTTTCTTAAGTTTTCGTCTTTTGCCACCTTCTTCTCCTCCTTCATCATCAGTTTCACGGTCATCTCGTGGCACACGTCTTCTCTGTCAGAGCCTGAAGCCTTTGCTTCTTCATCTGATTGTTCTTTATTAAAACGTTCATCATATGATTGTGCCTTATTGGAACCACCTTCATTGCCAAATTGGGTTTGATTTAGGTTAATGGACCCTTTTCATCTATTCTGTTCTATTTTAATCCCTAAACAATAATTGGCTTCACCTAAATCTTTCATTTCAAATCTTTTACTTAGTTGCTTCTTCACTAAATTTTTACTTATTTAATTTCGTTCGTAATATTCACTAAACCCATCTGGAATTTTCATGTGTATATTTCTTCATTTAGTGTACCTTGAACAAAAGCCATAACAGCATCCATTTGATCGATTTCCCAATCATAAATAGCTGCATAAGTCAACAAAACTCTTAATGTTACATAACGAACTAGGGGAAAACGTTTCTGTATAATCTATTCCTTCGATCTGGGAGAAACCTTTAGCTACTAAACGGGTTTTGTACCTTTCAATATCACCATTAACATTATGTTTTATTTTGAATACCCATTTGCAATCAACAATGTTTTTATTTTTTAGGCTTATTTACTATGTCCCAAGTTTTGTTTTTAATGTGACCCGCTATTGTTTCACATAAAGATTCTCTCCAATGCCTAGCATTACTACCATTGAGTGCCTCATCAATAGTATTAGGTTCAGAAAGAAGTTCATTTATTGCCACTAAAGCATCGGCAAAGAAAATAGGATCTAAATTTGGCATTTGCAAATCTGGCATACCATTGGTATCAAAATTTTGATAACGAACAGGAAGTTTAACTGTTCTTCCTATAGGTGTCAATTTCGGCATGTCATTATCTACAGTTACATTATTACTCTCATCATTATTTACAAAATCGCCTCTATTCAAACCATTAATGTCATCCTGACCTGCATTAATATCATTTTGGAAATTTAATTCATTATCACCCCTGCTAACATTATCATCATTTTGGAGTTTATCTGATGTGTTGTCAAAATCAACAATGCTCCCACTGAATAAAGAGTCATCACTGAACTCTGGTGAGCTTTTGTCACTGTTATTGTCATGATACATATCATGCTCCAAAAAATGTACATCTCGGGCTACAACAATATTACAATTAGTTGGATCAATTAGATGATAGCCCTTCCTATCCTTACAATCCCCAACAAACATTAACTCTCTAGCTTTCACATCCCATTTTGAATGCTTCTGTTTGGGAATATGAACAATAGCCCAACACCCAAACACCCTTAAGTATTTCAAGTTTGGCTTTTCACCACTCCATTTCTCAAAAGGTGTCATGCCTGGAACTGCAATGGTTGGAGATATATTTTCACAATGAGCTGCTGTTTCAACTGCTTCAGCCCAATATTCCTGGCCAAGGTAGGCATCCACCAACATAGACCGAGCTTGCTCAACGAGTGTTCTGTTGTTGCGTTCTGCAACCCCCATTTGCTCTGGTGTATAAGGGATAGACTTTTGATTCTGAATCCCTTTGGAAGCTAGAAAACTATCCATTTCATTATTAACATACTCCGTCCCATTATCAGAGCGTAAAACCTTAATAGGTTTGCCAGTTTGTCTTTCTCCATATGTCTGAAAGTCTTTGAATTTTCCAAGAGCTTCAAATTTATTCTTCATAAAATAAACAAAAGTCATTCTTGACAAATCATCTATGAAACTTATAAAGTACCAAGAACCCCCTATTGATGAAACACTCGTGTGTCCACAGAAGTCACTATGCACTAAGCCTACCAATTCCTTTGCTCGTTTAGCCTTACCCTTAGGAAATAGTTGTTTATGCATTTTACCTTTAGTGCATGGTATACAATCATTAATTTTCCCATCAAAAGAGAAACCCTCAACCATATCTTGCAATCTAACCATCCCTCCTTCACTTAAATGACCTATTTTCTTATGCAATATTTCATTTGATGAGTTTTGAGCAGTAATTAAAGCCACATCATTATGAATATCTAAAGAATATAATCTATCGCTTACACTTGTTCCACTAGCTACTAAATTATCACCCTTATAAACAAAACATCTTTCCCCTGTAAAGGTAGTAACCATCCCAAAAGTTTTGTTCAAATACTTAATAGATAGCAAGCTTTGGAACATGCAATACATTATTAAAAGTTACTTTTACTTTCTGCCCATTTCTAGATAAAAGAAAACTAACACTCCCTTCCCCCTCAACTTCTATAACAGAGCTGCCTGTTTTAATTTGACCAATACTTACAGTTTTGTAATCTGTTATCAATTCTTTATATGGGGTCATATGAAACAAAGCACAAGAATCCATGTACCAAACGTTAGGATTTGGATTAGAATTTGCGACATAGATACCTGCTACATAAGCTTTTTCCTTCATAAGAGTCTTAGTAGAAGTAGGCTTTACATTAACCTTTTTGTAAAATTTATCATACCCATTTTTCTGGCGTGGGGGTCTTAGACTATCTATACTTTTATGCCCAAACAAATTACATTTGAAGTATTTCCTCTTAAACTTATTACTGCCTTTAAATTTCTCATTAAGAAAAGCTCAATCTAAAAACCATCAGAATTAGGTTTATCATCCTCAGCCATTAATCTAGTTTTAACGCTATCTACAGTTATCTCTTCCCCACAATTTTTCAAAGCCATAATAAGGGGTTCAAATCTATCAGGTAAGTCAGCTAAAATTATTCCAGCTATTAATTCCTCATCTGCTTTAACTCCTGTTGATTTTAATTGCTGATATGCTGAAATTACTTTATGAAGGTCTGTACACATGTCTTTATAATCTGAATACTTAGTGTTAACCAATTTTTTAATTACAGACACTTTTCTAGTTATTCCTTTATCATCATAAGTTCTTGATAATACTTCCCAGGCTTCTTTGCCACTAGATAGGTCCCTCAGATCATTAAAAATTGTTTCACTAACCCCTTCAACTATGTATGTCAAAGCTTTGGCATCTAAAGCTGCATCTTCCTTTTTCCCTTCAACGTAATCCCATAAATCTCTTTTGATTAAGTGCATTCTCATGGCAAACTTCCAATCAGCATAATTTGCCCTCCCAGTTAATTTCTTATGGCTAAAAGAACCTTCGCCTCCTGGCATGATTTTTTTTTTAACTTTAAATTAAACTATTAAAAATATAACTATAAAATAATAAATTTTCTATTAAAACATAGTTAAATTAAATTAGTTACAAAGTTTAAGAAGAAAAACAACAACATTTATTTATGTGTTAAGCATTTAGGCCTAACCATGTGTTAACACATGCTACCATAATTTATCTATCTTTAATTCTAAAGTTTAGCAAAGAATTTAAAAATAAATACTATATTAAACTTAATAAATGTTAGCTATAAATTTCTTGGACNAATTTAAAAATAAATATATTAAACTTAATAAATGTTAGCTATACATTTCTTGGACCATTCTGGGCCCATAACCTAAAGACTTAATCCAATAATTTAAGCATGGAGGTCACAAGAAATAAAGCAACATACCTGGATAAAGGCTGAAACTGGACTAAATATTTTATTATAGATAAGAGGTTATATTAAGGACAACACTGTTGCCATCTATGTCAGCATTTGGGATGCCATCTATGTACAACAATATAAACTAACTCATTCAGCATTTAAACAGATGTTCTCTCGTCTTCTAGATTCAAGGTTAAGAAGTTTAAAATAAAAAAGATAAATATTCACTAAGTGGATTGCTGTTTAATGGCCGAAATTTGTAAAATGGTAACCTAAATTATGAAAAATGAGAATCGCATAACTAATCATGAAGACATAATTTACCAAGAGAAAAAAAAAACCAAAATTGTTTTATAAAAATTTTTATAAATTGAAATGTGTTATTTTTGCATGAAACTGCAATATTTGTAATGAAAAATTGAAAAAAAATTTGCCTTGCAGCATTCTTTTTGAACGTCTTTCCTAGATATTTTTTGTATTTAAACTAATAAAAATATTTGTATTTAATTTCAGAAATACCTTTAGATGTAACAAAATGACATAACATTTTGATCACAATCAGTGCTATTTAAAAGAATACGTTTTTAACTTAAAAAATTGAATTCTCACCAATTAAAGCGACACATACTGGTGAAACATCTATGCGAAAATTGAGTTCATGCTCCCTCTGAATAGTTTTTTATTCGTTTTCGGACTAACAAGGCTGGAGAAAATTTGTTACCCATTTGTTTCAAATTACAGTTGCTAAAATTTTATTCTATGAATATAAGCCTAGCTATATGAATATTTATTTTATCTTTTCAAACAAAATTGTAATCAATGAAAAACACTAAAATTCGTCCAGGAAACCAAGCAAATGCTACACACATAAATCATCAAAATCTTATTTTATAAAAGAGTTAGAATCAAATAAACAGATCCCCCAAGAAGTATGCTAAAAACATAACGATTGAATGAAAAAACAAGAAGGAGGAACGCTTAATCTTTAGCGCTCATTTACTCAAATTCACTAAAGTGTCACTTACCCGGTTCTTCCACTGAGCTCTTCATATATATAATCAAACTAACATGCTTTCAATGTAAGAGTTGTTTATGACTCAACCTAGTATAATATTCCTTAGACATGTTAATTTGTCATGCATTTAAATGCAACAAAATTATTTATTTAAAGAAAAAAAATAAAAAAAATTTTTTTTAAAAATATTTACATTTTATTTTTTTATAAGAAGAAATTAAAACTATTTCATACCAAATCCCATTGAAAAGTAACAATGCATAGGACCATGATTAATATCACACAGATTTGTCATCATTCTAAAAATATGAATTGCTTCAACTAAAAGCCATGAAAAAATAGAAAGAAACAGGAAATGCAAAAGTATGGCAATCATCTTGCAGGGAAACTGAAATAATGAATAAAAAGCAACATGATAAATTCTAAAAATTTCTATTTTTGTATAGTTATATCAGTTATTAAATTCTTTTGACAACATACCTGATGATACACAAGAGAATGTCTTGATTTCAGTGCAATAAGGAAGATAAGCTCAGCAGTAAATATGGTGAAAACTAAGCAAATATGAATTGTGTTACTGTTGGTCTGAGAACCTCTAAGCAAGCAAAATACTATTATAGTACTAGCCAGCAGGACAAGAGACATTATGATTGCCATGTATGAAACTACATTTTGTAACATTGATTCAGTAAGAAGAAACTGAAAAAAATTAAAAAAAAAAATTTAAATTTAAACTGTTAAATTTCTCTCATTACGCATTAATAAATTGCATACTATCATGTTTAGGCAAAAATAATTTTTTTATATCTTGCAGTAGAGTGAAAGGAAAAATTTCAAAATATTAAAGCCAGAGTAAGTTTATAAAGGATTCGCCCTCCTCCTCCAACAAAACAAAATAATTGAAAAAGAAAATAGTATACTTTAACATCTGAAAAAAGTTATTGTTAAATACGAATTTTTGCAAAAAAATTATGATAGCGAAAATCCTACTGATTCTTACTCTTTAAAAACAATCTTTCAAACCACATTTCATTTTAATATTCCAAGTTTATTTCTGAATCTTAAAGCATTTACAATATTAAAAGGAAATCATCTAAAAATGGTGTAATAAAAAGTTTTTTCTTCAGATGAATTCTGAATACCCTGTTTTTTAATGAGATTGTTTTTTCTTTTGTTGTTTTTTTTAATAAATGAGTAAATTCAGTTATTCGCTAATAAAATATTGAAATATCTTCTTACATAAATCAACACTATTTTATTTCAAATGTTTAAAACAAACATGCGAAAAAAATTTTGTAAATTGTTTTTTTCTTATTGTTATCAGACCGAAATAATAACCTGAAATGATACATTTATTTTCCATTTTCAATAATTGTACATGTATTTGCATTATTATAAAAAAAATTTTGACACAATATTAAAATTTGAATTCATTGTTATGATTAATTTTTAATAATATTTCGACTATAACAATGCCTATAAAACTTAACTAATTATAAACCTAAGTTCTTAAAATATTTAAAAAATATAGAAAAACAATTTAAATAAAGAAAAATTCATTTAAATCAAATAATTTGGATTTTTTAAATTTTATTAAAAACTCTAAACAAATGTTTAATTTTTATAATTTAAATTTAAAAAAAATAAAAAGCCACAAACCCTGGGACAAAGACAAATTATGAGAGAACAAGTTATGTGGAGAAAGAATCTCGCATATAAGACCTTTTACGGATAAAATACTTATAATATTTAAAAGCGGTATTTACTATCAAATGATCAACCAAATTGAGACCATGTTATGTGCATCAGTTGAATATTATGTATTATTTAAAAATAACTATGCTAATAGAATTTTTATTTTCATAAAAAAAAAAAATTTAAAAATCGGAAAACCTGGGACATAGACAAATTTTAGGGGACAAGAACAACCAACTTATAAGAACAATTTTTGCATGTTTTAAAGGGAATGAAGTTTTTAATAAGTAACTATGTTAATTGTATTCATTTCTACTTAGTTGAAATTTCGTAAATTTCAATGAGGGCAGAATATTGGTGCCAACACTGCGTCTTGGCACACTTGAAGACTAGATGAGATCAGGTGTCTAGGGGAGATAAAAATGTATCTAGGGGAGATAAAAATGATATTAATGTATAATATTGATTTTGAAAAATTTCTATGAAAATTTTTCACAGAATGTTTTTTATTTCTTTTATGCATATGTATTTGTGTTATCAATTTTTAATGTATTTAATGTTTATCCTTCATATTAAAAATATGGAACAATTTTAGTTATTTCAATTAATTAATTAATTTGTTTTGATGGCAAATTAATTAGTTCAACATGATTGAATTATTAAACATAATTAATTAATTAAACAAGTTATACACTTTTTATTTTAAGTTGGAGCATGGATAACAATGAACTTATTGATGAAGTTTAATGAAATATATGAATTGAACTTATATTGTTAATATTATTACTTGTTATAGTTGACCACACAATTCAATTTAATAAAACTCTGTTAATTAGTACGCATTTCAATTTTGATTGATCAAATGATTATTTAGATATCAAAAATAAAACTAACTTCTTCATGACTTTTTTCCATTATCACAGCAAAAGTACTAAGATGTTTACAACTACAATTCACATATAAATTTTCTGAAGCATGGAGTTCCACATCACATCCTTCACTAGACCAATGTCCTCGACTGAAATAAAATAAAGAAGAATGAAGTAGTGAAGCACGAAATGCAAAATATAGTTAAATCATTTTTTGAGATATCTTAATATATTTCACCAACAGAACATTATTCAAAGTTTCTTTATTTAGATACTATTCAAATTCAAAATAATTCTAAATCCTTTTTACCCCTTTACTGACTTGAATTATAAGTGTGTAAAGCCATAATTTTTTTAATTCAATGCCTTTACCTTGTAAAAAGTCCAACTAAAAATATATAAAAAGGAATAAATTAACAAAAACTTCTGCTTTTCATTAGAATCACTAAACAAGAGCCAGAATGAAAAAGTATTTCTGTAAATATCAAAAACTTATTTTAATTAAGAAAAAATATTTTAGTAATTATGAAAAAAAAAAAAATTCTGAAGTATAATTCCATATGTAATATATGATGATCTATGTGAAGTATGGCACAAATGCATATTCTAGAGCTAATTTTTCTTAATATTTTATCTCCTTCTCCCTCGTACACACTATTCAATAGATTGGTTAGGATATAAATTTAAGAAAAACGTGTAATCAGACTCACAGCTTTTCAAGGCCTAATAACAAATCAAGGCTCTTTGCCCATTTTTAAAAATGGCCAAGCCAAAATTTAATTGTTAGTGATCTACTGCTATTATGTAAAATTATATTTTTATTTTACCTTGATTTGAGTTGGGTCAATGTTCGTCTGAAAATGAAATGTATTTAGTTTTGTCAAGAAATAAGCTTATTTTGAACAAGGTCTAAATTATTTATCACCTTATTACTGATATTTAGTTAAAAGTGTAGAAAAAAACTTACTTTTCAAGAAAATTCCAAAATACACACTGAGGATTTCTTCCTGTAGAGTTATATATTTTAAATCGTAACCTTGTATCTTCATTCAAATTTTTTTCCATGTTAGAAGAATTGACTGACTGAACAACTACAGTTAGGACAGGAGAGTTTATACCAAGAGGAATGCCATGGTACCTGAAACAAAGCATTTAATCAAAAAGTTTAATGGGTTCTCAGTTATAAAAAAAACTCTGAACGTAGGAATGCATTAAAAATAAAATAAGATTTCTCAAAGAAAAATTTTATTTTAGTCTTATTCTTTTATATAACTATCATTTATATTGTCAAATTTTTAAATTTCGTCATTTGCAAAAAAAGAAGTGAGGAACAATAAGTATTCTTTTTATATATTCTACATATATTGACTAGGTAAAAACATGAATTCTTCAAATATTTTTTTCATTCACAAACAGAAAAAAATTACATTATTTAAAAAATTATATGTTCTTGTAACTAATTCTACATCGGTGATTAACCTAAATTATTAAATGGGTGCCTTGTACCTTGCAATCTGCAACAAGTACATAAAAATCTGATCTTCATTTGGAACATTATTCAAGTTACTGGTTTTTATTTTTCAAACTGTAGCTACTAGAATAGCATTTAACACCTTTCATATAAAAAGTCACTAAAGCTTAACATTATGGCAATGGAACAAAACTTTTTTTAATAAAAACTGAAACAGATTTATATAAGAAAGTTGAGGGTGACAATATTTTCTGGGAGTTTTGAAAAACAAAATCTTTTATCACATCAGTCAAATCAATTCACTTCAAGACATCTTTAATAGTCATGATTGATAATTGACACTTTCTTTAGACATGGTAACACTTAACTCATTTTTGATTAATCTGAGTCAGAAAAAAGATCATTCCAGGGTTCAGTTTCTTATTATAAGAGGAAAAAATTGGGATAAGAATTTTTTTACAATTTATTACAAATTTATTAAAATTTATGCAAAAAATAATGTATTAAAAGATATATTAAAAATGTAAACGTTTTCTCTTAATCATTAATGTGAGCTGTACAATCTCTCAGGGTAATCAATATAGGTAAAAATAGCATGGATAAAAATAACAATTAAAAAATTTGCACCTTTCTTTAGGTTTTCTTTCAGTATAAGTACATCAGTATTTAACAAAATACAAATGTACAATATAATTTAAAAATAAATACTTACATTACAGTGTTGTCAAACAAAGGTGGTAGAAACTGTCCAACAGTTGAATAAATTACATATCCAAGAACTGTAACTTGTTTCGAAGAACCAGTTAACAAATTTGCAGCCTCTAGAATATTTTCAATTCAATTTAGAATATCATATAGCTAAGGTATTTAGTATAAAGATGAAGGTTTAAACAAATACTGATAAATTTATTTCATACTAAAATTAATCCTTTTTGTTCAAGTCTCCACTGGCAGGGTGTTCTGTAATGGCAACCCTTAACAGTTCCAACATTGCAAAAATTTAAAAAAATGAACTATAAATATTTTTTCTACCAAAGAAACGCTTTCTGTCAAAATTATGGACATAGAAATATCCAAAAATTAGTTTTATCTAAAAAGAGTTTATTTGAAGATGAAGCTTGAAAGTGATTTCTCAAGCAAAGCTTGGACACATTCAAGACTCATTAAGCTAATAAACAGGTTTTGATGATTTAAATCTCTCATTAGCTCTTCCTAACCTCAACAATTTTGTCAACAACAGACTTTAGGAATGGTTCTATTTTTCTCACTTAAGTAAAATATCTGACTTAAATTTTAATTTGCAACTACAAATATACATAGTGTTTTCAGTTTAATTCATACAAACGAATATTTTAAAAGAACATCATTACAGAAAATTCTGTATATAATAAAAAACACAAATATTTAAAAGACTATTGCTAAAATAGCTATAAAAAACCTGCTCATTCTTACAGTAAGCTATTTGCCAAAATGTAAGTACCTTGCAGCAGAAATAAATAAAAAAATATTAATAATAAATAAAATTAGTTGAAATCAAATTTTTTTAAAAAAAATGGGGATTAAATGAAGCTAATAGTAGCACAGCTTACATTTTTTACTCAATGTAATGATGTTAAACTAATTACTAAATTTTATAATACAGTAGGGAACCGATTATCTGGAACGATCGGGACCATCGCTATTCCGGATAACTGATTTTTCCGGTTTTCTGAATCGCTACAAAAAGCCGTTTTTTTTATTGTTAAACCCAACTAAAAAGAAATATTAGGAAATAATCTTAAAAAGAAGAAAAAACGATTAAGTAATACAGTAATGATTATTTCTAAAATGATGGTACGGTAAACATCTTTCAAAAAAGAAAGAAAAATCCTAAAATCTTACGAGGAAAAAATTTTTTTTTTTTAAAGAATGGCGGGAAAATGTATCGAATTTCGTTCCGATTTTTTGGTTTTCCGGTTTTCTGATTTCCGGATAACGGGTTCTGTACTGTATTACCTTTAAATTTTTAGCTCTCTTTTTGGCAAAATGTTGAAGCAATTTTAATAATTACAATAACAAATTTAGTTATTGTTATCATATTTTCCGGAGAATCCTCCAAATTTTTAGACCCTGATCATGTACTTTAAAATCACTTTTATTTTTATAGAAGATACTTTAATTTAATTTTTAAGTGTCTTCCTTCCTAATTTATCAACCTAATTAAAAATTATCTTCCTAATACAAATTTTTATGCCTTTTTTACTTTTCTATTCCTTGTCCTTTTTCTTTCTTCCCCAATTTTAAATAAAAACCAAAATATGCTCTAAGGGAATCTGTGAAAAATGAAAAAATACGTAAATAAATAAAAATAAAACAAAAACTTGTGGTCAAAATTTTTAATAATTCAGAATTTTAATCCAGGTTGACATAAACTACCAAATTTTGCTCAAATTACGGGAATTAAGGTCAATCTGAGTGAGATAAATAGGATTAGTTAAAAATGTGTCTTGAAACTTTTAAATAACTGATACAGAGAGCAGGTCCCAGAAATGTAAGAAAAGAGAAGAGCACCAGAACATCGATAAAAGCGAGACTAAGTGTGCGCCTGGCGAGGATCCCTCTTACATTGTTGGTTACCCTTTCTTTAGGAGTTAGTGGAACTTCAGCTTTGGTGATCGAAAAACGATGGGCTACACCCCATGAGTGCATTTAGTTCCCCCCTTTTTTTGTTGTTTTACTTATTTACAAATGTAATCAAGAATTATAAATCATTAAAGATGAAATTTTATTTAATTAATTGTAATCAATCTTTTTAATCTTAAGATAGAGTTAACTAACTCATGTTAGCGTCGTATTACTACTTTGCAATTATATCAACATTTACTAAGTTTTAAAATAACGTTTGAAGATTTTGAAGTAGAAAAAAAAATTCACAATTTATAAGAAAAATTACCTTGAAAAAGGCCAAGTTTGTTGAATGGGAGCATTATTTGCACAGGATGGTCTTCTTTTAGAGGATAGTTATTATACTTTGGAAGTATCACAAAAGGTACACCATCTATCAATGGGGAGAAATATTTTGTTTCATTCTCATAAATTTCCATGGTTGATGGGTGCAAGACCTCAGAAGAAGTTATTGTATCCATTCCAAATACTGTGAAAAGATAATATGGATTAATTCAATAAACAATTCTTATAGTTTTTTTTCTCAAAATTAAAATAATGCATAATTGTATGTAATGTTTGTAATTAAATTATTTCTTATTATATATAAACAAGGACAAAAGAGTACTTGTGAATTGTTTAGATGGTATATAAGAGTATCAGGGTGTGGTATCATTATTAAATTCAAAAGAAGAGTAATCAAAACAGAATTTTAAGAAATAAAATAAATTCTGAGAAGGAATTATAGAAGTAATCATTTACAAATGCATTTGTACACTAAATTCTCAGGAGATTAACGTTATATTAAACTAATATGCTTCATAATTTACCTAGTTTAAAATTTTATTTATAATTTTTCAAAAGTACAGAGCAAACTGAAAGTTTCACAAAAAAATGTAGGATGTATATAATAACACAAGCCTGCAAAATTGAACTTTTGAAAAATACAAGATAAGTTATTGTTGATTTATATGTTATTTGATGTGCTGATTTCGAAAATGACCATCATTTATCCCAATCACATCAGGATTTTTTATAAAATCGATATTAATGTTTTTACTAAAATCCTATTTGGAAAGAAATTCTCTCAAACAATTTTGCATGTACTATTCGGTAACTGTTCTCTTCATTCGTTTTGATCTATGTAAAATTTAATCTTGTGAAAGAAAATTGATTTTTTAACTATCAGCTAATTTTTTAAAGGTTAAAATGAATGAAAAATACTGTTACCAGACCGCACAAGTCACCTCTGGTAGAGAGAAAAGCAATAAGCTCCTTGTGTTTAAACTTTTTACATCAGTTTCTAGAAGAAAATCACCAACATACCATTTTAATTTGTTTTTATTGAGATAACTAACGTAAGATTGACGATTGACCAAGAATAACAAATATTGTGCATGTGTATATGAATGTTTGAAACAAAAAACAAAACAAGTAAAAAACAAAAGAGAAAAGTTTCTATTTAAGTACATACTCGTTTTTCTCTGAAACTTATTTTTGATGATCTTCTTTTATGCTTAATCTCAGGTTTACCCGAGCTATCATCCAACAGTAGTCAGCGAGCATGTTCTTGTCCCATCTTCCTTGATATTTATGCTCCATATCTCTGATATCTTGACGGAGCCTTTCCCCTTGTTCTTCGTTGACTGCTCCTAAATTTTCAGTGAGTGAAGGAAATGCATTTTTACACTCATGGAGCAACCCAACGTTTTAAATTTGTCCAGCATTTTCATTACAATTTCCTTATAATCAGGATCCTTCTAATTACCCAGAAATTTACTGACGTCATCTTTGAAAGCAACCCAAGCTTCTTTTTCCGTTTCTGTCATGTTAGTCTCAAATTCTTTATCCTTCATGAGTTTGCAGATATCTGGACCAACAAATATTCCTTCTTTCAACTTAGCTTGGGAAAAACTTGCAAACTTTTTGCACAGGTATCTGAAACAATTGCCATCTTTTGGAACAGCCTTGACAAATTTCTTCATTACACCTAATTTTATATGTAGCGGAGGTAACAATACTTTCTCGGATCAACTAAGCTGTTTCGAACAACGTTCTTGGGTCAAGATTTTGTCTTTTCGGCCATTCTTTTCTGAACCAATGTTGAGTCTTGTCACGGCTGTTCCACTCACAAATGAAACATGGGTACTTTGTAAATCCCCCTTGTTGAACAAGAAGCATGGAGATAACTTTCAAATCACCACAAATGGTCCAACTGTGGTCGATATATTTTTTTTTTATTCAAGACGAGAGCCAGGTTCTTGAGGCATTCTTTTAAATATACTGAGTGTCCAACTGGTACTGATGAATACTAGATCCCATGATGAAGAAGAACAGCTTTGAGCTTCTTTTAGATGAATCTATAAGCAGCCTCCCCTCATCTTTATGGTAGATGACATTAAATTTGTTCATCAATCCAGAAACATCAGAACAATAGACCAAGTTCTCCTCTTCATCAAAGTACTTATTGAATTCCTTGTCTCGATTCCTATACCAATAAAAAGATGCTCCTTTGGCCAATAAGTTTTTTTCCTTCAGTCTGGAGCCTAGCAATTCAGCTGCCTCTTTTGAAAGGCCAAGATCTCTACTCAGATCATTAAGCTCAACCTGAGAGAAGGGCTGAGGTGAACCGGCAACGGATGACTTATATTCGATATCGGAGCCTTGAATGTTCCGAGTCTGAAGACTCTAAAGAGATGATTGGCAACAATTCAGTTGGAGGCAAAGGCACATCAGGTCCATGAGGAACGAGGCGTATGGCCGATGGAATGTTATCAGGATAAGATATTAGTCTTTGATTTTTCCGGTTATACCCACGAACATGGCAGAAACAAAAATAACAATCATCAAAGTGGTTTTGGGGCTCCCTCCACGTCATAAGAAATTAAAATCGTATAGCAGTCTTCTTTCCTTGATGATATCATGAGGTGCCCAAGATTTGTCCTGATCTCCGAGTTTCGTGCCAAAATATGCGAGATAAAGTTGTCTTACACAGTCTGTAGTGCTCCTCATGCGATCTTTAACAACATTTTATTTGCCGCATATATAACAAAAGTCATCTGGGAAATTTTCACAATGTCTCGAACTCGAAGCCATGTTTCACGAAACGCACAGAAAAAAGCAGACTTTAAAATGACTCCCTATTACACTTACTGGTGTATTTGAGAGCTCAGCGAACCTAGATAAGGATTCTCGCGACACTATTGGTAGAGAGGGATTGTGACAGAGAGAGGGACGGTGACAGGAAGTAGTGATAGAGGGGTACTTTTGTAGATTTAACCAAAGTCGAATGCTGGTCAGTCAAGAAGGGAAGAAATTCAAAAACGAAAATTTTTTATGGTAAAAGTTAATAAAAATTCCAGTAAAATTGAATTTTTCTAAAAAACATGATGTGATAGAAATTTTTCATTATTATTTTCCATTTCAGCACCAAAAAATACATTAAGTTCAGTTATCAGACCCCTTGTATTTTTTTCATTGCTGGCCTGTGTAATGAGAAAACATTAGATATTTATTTTATGTTTTTCCTAGAATCTCCCAAAATTACATAGATAGAAAAAACAACCAGTAGGATAAATGTGACAAATGGTTATCCTAATTTATATATTAAGGAAATAAAAAAACGAACTAATATCTTATAAAAATACATGGAGTGAATTAAGTTAAAGAAATTGCTTTATAATCGAATATGTTACATTTTGTTGCAAAGTTTGTTTTATAACCAGGTTTGATAGATAAATTTTTATAGAAATTTTGCTTAAATGGTATAAAAATATAGAAAAGGAAAAAAAGTATTTCAAATATTTTAAAATGGAAGAACATCATAATTCTAACAACACTTAAAAATAATATTTACAACAAACTGTTCAAGTTTTATTGAGCAAATCAGAATATCACTAGACCACAGTATAGTGATGTTCTAAATCCCAGAGAGCAGTTGCATTTTCTTATTCAAATCAAGAGTAGTGGATTCACTTGCAGTAAAAACGCTGCATAAAAAGAAATGGAGAACCCTTATTATCTGTACTTCAAAAAATATAAAGTAACAAGCATCATGAAATACCATGATGATTGTCATCAACAACTTCACTTTTCACAACAGACGATATGCATACAATATAAAAACAAATGCAAATGAACATATGCTGATGTTGAAACTGCGTGCTATTTAGTGATATACCACAAACTACTAAAGAAGGTCATCAAACAGGATGATTTCATAAAACTAAGTGTTATAAAGAGACACGACAGTAGGTTGGCATCATGCTTTTAAATTGAATGTCATTCGAAGAATTACGCGTTAGACTCTTTCTTTTTATACGTATCAGAGTATTCTTTGAAATTTAAATTAAAAACATTACTGGAAAAATAAGTTACATTAAATTATCAGTTATTCAAATACAATAAGAAATATTAAGAGATTATAGCATGGAAAGTACATACAGATATTCTGAAAAAATATTTGGAGTATATTATTTACATTTTAATAAATTTTAAAAAAAAACTATACACTATTCATTTAAAAATATCTACCTATATTCTTTTCATTCAATTCAAAAGGTCTAGTAAAGGTATCTGTGAAATGTTTTATTAACAAATTGAGATAATCTTCAAATGACTCAACAATCATTTCGACTCCTGCTCCAGTTGAAGCAGTTATTTGATTCCAATGATCAGAATAAATTGGGTCCAGAATAACATTGATAGTTTCAACCAGATTCTGTAAAATATACAATATTATGAATCAATACAAATATTTTGAGAGATTTTATTTATTTTTATTCTTGATTGAAAGAATAAAAAAAAATCAAAATATTATGCAAACAACTTATTAAACACTACTTCACAAATTCACAAATTTTATGAACAAAAAAAGTATTTAATATCTATTAATGTTCAAATTTTGAATTTAGGAGGCCTGTGAACATTAAGCTTTCAGGTCTGCCAGCTACTATACTTTTTATAAAATATTTTATAGAGTGGCAGACATTTAAAAACCAAAGCTTCGAGAATTTTTGGTGATTTCCCAATATTGCAATTGAATATGAACTTTAAAATCATTTATATGTAGAGATGTGGAAAATAAGTTGAAATGAATAAAAATAATAAATTAAAATATTAACTTAGCTACCACTAGAATAAATTTTTACAAAAGGAATAGAAAGTTGGCAGCTAAGCATTTTTATTTCCTAATCTACGTAGAGATAACATACAGGATGAAGTCAAAAAAAGTTATTGTATATGACATATATGTATAGGTAGAGTACACTACTACAGGGGAATAAGTTGTAGCATCATAGGATAGAAGTTAACTAACTTCTTTTTTAATTTGTGTGCTCATTTCATTTTGCCTACCACTTTAATGATTAAATATTCTATAATATATCTCTAAGTTTACATATTGTTTTTTGTGATTTTCTACAATATCAATCAAATAAGCCGGGATAGCCTGGTCAGTGGGGTGCCGGGCCCATGTCCAATAGTTTGTGGGTTCGGTCCCCACCGGTCGAAGACTCCCCGTGTAGTAAATGGTGACTGATGCACGTTAAATCTGTCGAGTCTCAAAGTCCTCCATGTTCCCATAACAAATCAATACCTCTGGGGGTACCGATCCAGGAGTTTCCCTGTCTTCTGGATTGGCTCAAAATTACAAGGATACGGCGTTGAACATTAGTAGTCGTAAACCCAAAAATTGGGTCGACTGTTCAAAGGCGGTCACAAAATAAAATAAAATATCAATCAAAATCCATGGATTACATGTAATGGATGATGCAATCCAAGTCCCATGAATTACAGTGTATGGTTCATTATGGAATCTAAGGCTTCACTAAACCACATAAAAGTTTGGACTCTCTAAAGCAATCACATCAGTGGGAATGAAATTGATTAAAGGTAGATTTGCTGCCTACTGCTGACAGTTTTATTGAGTGTTGGTTATAGGAAATCACTGCAAAAGGTGGTCACTTTGAAATCAACTAAATTTATTTATTAGTAAAAATCTGCTCTTATTATTATTTGTTATATTTTTCTAAATCATTTGTTTATTTTTAATAAATATCAAAAATTGTTTGCCAAGACTTTTTTGCCACCCCCTGTATTAATACAACAGAACTATTTTACCAGTGTGATCTACAAGCAATATTAGCAACATTTCAGCTTGTATCCCAAAAAGCTTTAGTAACATGAGGTGTTTCATAATAACCACCAATATTTTATAAATCCTAAAATCCTTGTAAAAAAAAAAGACAAAACTACGCAAATTAGGGGTTAAAATTAAAGAAATTAAAGTTGGATAAGTTCTGAACATAACTCCTGCCTTAACCTCAATAATAATAGGTCAGAATTCAAAAAGGTTTTTCATCCTTTTTTACTTCAGTATTAATTTGTAACCCGTAATGTGCAGTCTCTTAACTACATATTTCATTCTAACAAAATAAATTAAAGATGGTCATTCAGACAATCTGCATCTTTTCATATTAGCTACTTTAAATGTAAAATTATTATTGATTAGAAATAAAAGAACAGCATATTATCTTGTTAGCTACCTGAAATTTAGAGAAAATCGAAAAATAAGTAATAAATCACTTTATTTTAAACATCTAAATTTGTTAAGTTGACACTTAATATTCACCAAACAGATTAAGATTTTGCAAAACATTTGTTTAGACTAAATGTCATAATATTACAGGGTATGCAAATTGAAATTTTAAAAAAATTACTTAGGTAGTTGGAACTGTTTAGTGTAGATTATATATCGATATTTTTTGTTCATACAAAGTGCAATTATTATGACAAAGCTACAATTATAATTAACTATGTCAATAATTAATAGTTATATTTTTATAATTTAAATGTTATAATTTAAATATTATAAATTTCATAAAAATTATAATTAATTAGGCCTGGCTCATCCGAAATGAATGGTTTACATCCCAACTCTGGTACAAAAATTATAACAAGTACAGTACCCCCTAATAAAAATCACTTTTGTCTAAAAAATTATAAGACTTGTCTGATTCTACAAACAAGCAGTTCAACAAAATAATTATATTGAGACATAATAAATATTAATAATATTAAAATATTAATAATATATAATTAATAAATATTAATAATATCATTACATCATTTAATCCATATTAGATGGAAAATGACTCTAATATAAAAATTTTACCAAGTATAGTGCCTACCACCTAATAAAATCACTTTATCTTGAGGAATTTCAATAATAAAAATTGGCTGATTATATAAACAGGTGGTTCAACATAATCTTCACAAATGTGCATATATACTGTAGGTTGAATGACTTAATATATTTACATCTTATGTGAAATCTTGATAAACTAAGCACATATTTATTTTACATACAAGGGCGTTAAAAATTGAAAAATTGTTTTTTGAATTGCAGAATTTGAAATTAAAGATATTATTTTCGAATTCTGCAAATAATAATTAGAGTTAATGATTATTAAGTGGAAGATTCAACATCAAATTGAGGGAATATCTATTAGTCCTGTGATTTGTTTCATTAAATAAAATAGGCATTCAGTTTTTTTTAAATTCATAGCTAACATTTAGATTTCTTTGCACTCTTTTTTCATTATTTGTGAGCGACTGGAATTTCTAACCTCTATGCAATGAAGTTTTAAAAGAATGCAAATTCAAAACATAGAAGGTAAGACCTACTCATTACAGATGTAAATCCAAAAGTCTGATTTTAAAAATGTTCGAAATAATTTTAATAAAGGATTTGAAATCCTATTGTCAGTTTTAATGTAACTACTTTTCAAGATGTCATTTTAAAAAATGGCTCAATTTTTAAGAAAAGGGTTTTATAAATCATTAGCATTGTACTGTACATATAATATAGAATAAAACTTTTTGATACCTTTATAAAATCTTTATCTTGTCGATGGCTGAGATCTAGACCAGCTTTTTGCTTTTCATGCTGAATTATATAATAGAATAGGTGACTAACAATAAGAACATCATTTCCATAAAGAGGAAATGTTCTATTGACAGCAGCTTTTAAATCAGATGCTAAATTAACAGCAGTTGCAATATTTAACTGCAATAAACTTTTCTGGATACTTTCTAACTGAAAACCAAATAAAATTCACAATTAATACTTTAAGCTGAAATATATATATATTAGTTGGAAACAGTAAGACCATTTAATTCACAACTAATCAAACACATTACCTGATTGGCCAATTCTCGAAAAGAATTAGAGGTACAACTAAATAAATCTGGTTCTTCCCATCCATTTTGTTCACCACAGAAACGACTGGCTTTACCTTTAAATATTTTGCAAAAATAAAAATATATTCAAAACTATTTGTGATAAGAAAACAGTTTAATGAGCTAGTTTTAAGTGCTGATTACTATAGTAAGTCTTTATGAAGCAAAAGAACACAATATACATAATATGTATGTAACAGCATTAACAAATCAAACATTTCATTTATGTAATAATAAATCAAACAATTCCTTCCCAACCACTAGAAAATTTATAAGTATGTCTATTTAATAGAAATTCACAAAACAATTATTTTAAAGGCTAAAAACAGTTTTATAGCTAAAAAAAATTTTTGAAGTCTTTCTCCGTTACTATATAAAAAAAACAGTTTTATTACTATTTTGAGCATCTTCCTGAAACTCACAATAACCGATTTTCTGAATCTCTGTATTATAAATTTATTCCGAAAAAAAATATATAAAAATAAACATTATACGAGGGTTGTAAATTAAATAATGGCAACTTAACCTTGAAACTCATAAAAGGGCGCGCATGCGTAAATAGGGTATGGGTGTGGTGAGGTGGCGCTGTTGTCGATGTGTAGAGTGCAAAAAACAGTCGATTTGCTTAGAAGGGTAGTTGTTGCGTGGCGTTAAAGTGAGGAGTTTCGTTTCCATCGCTCTAAAGCATGTTGTGAAAAGGCTTAATGACGAAAAAAGACGAGATGCTTGAATCCATCGTGCTACTGTCCTATATGGTAAAGCATTTGCTCCAAAGGCTTCCACTAATCCTCGATAGCATTCTGTTGCATTTTTGCCACGGGCAACCTCGATTGTAAGCCACGACCGCTGATCACCTTTTGAAAACATGCTTTAGAGCGATGGAAACGAAACTCCTCACTTTAACGCCACACAACAACTACCCTTCTAAGCTAATCGACTTTTTTTTGCACTCTACACATCGACAACAGCCCCACCTCACAGCTCCCATATCTAATTTGCGCTTGCCCGTCCTTCTGTGAGTTTAAAGGTTAAGTTGCCACTATTTAATTTACAACCCTCGTATAATGATACAATTATAAGTTAAAAAAATAGATAAAATTTTATGAAATTTGAATGTGATATTCAAAATAGCAAATTTAGAAAAAAGATTTGATACAATTTTATTTAAATATTGGAGTGGGCTTTTAAATAGATAAAGCTTTTTAATAAGAGCATAACTGAGAAAGCTTCTCATAATTTACAAGTAAAAACCAAAAAGAGGCACTTAGAAGAAATTAACAATCAGCAAAACTTATTTCACATTGAATTTCACCTGAATGAATTAAAACTAGGCACAATTTAACTTTCCAGAAATTATGCGAAAGAAAATGCCTAACTATTATACTTTTCTGTACTTGTCTCTTTCTTCTCAAAAAATACTTATCAGCTCAAATTAGAGAGACAGAGTTTTATTTTCATTCTGAGGAACAATAGATATACATCACTCCTATTTAATTTTTTTTCTTTCAAATAGAGCATTAATAATGGTGTAAAGTAAAAAATAATACTTAATTTTTAAGAACAAAAATGTTAAAGCTACTCTCAAACAAAAAAAATAATATATTTACAATTTTGCAAAACCACAGTTTTCATTCAGAAAAGGCTAGAAATCCAAAGTATACTCTAATTTTGAGTTCACAACTACTTGAAGTAACTGCAGTTAATTAAAAAATCTCCACTCTTTTATAAAAAAATGTATAGAATTTAGTTTTCTTTTATGATTTTAATTAATCATATAATTTTTGATGATTTTAAAAATTGGAGTACCTTAGAATTCAAATCACTTTTTGATTGTAAATAAATTACACAATATAAAATAATTTTGAAATAGTTTCACAGATGTGGAAAAAAAAGCAAAGGTAAAATTAACATTGAGGTATTCAAACTTTTGACTGCTCTCGACTAAGTGGTTCCAAATATATTGTCCAGATTGCAACTACTACAATAGATACAATGTATATTTTTGAAGGATAAAAAAGTATTTTTATACACCTGATTTTGTAATTACATTCATATGTATCAATAACTCATTAGCATATTCTAAGTCTACTTCTTGAACCATTAGTTTGAACAAGATTGCTTAAAAATCCAATCATTAAATGAAATATTATTGAGGGGATAGCTTATTACTTTCTTTAAACTCTTCCAAAGATGAAAATATGATAGAGCAAAGGCTTTGTTTTAAAGTTGTTTGAATACTCAAAAAAAAAATCTTTTCCTTAATAATGATTTGTTGAAATGAAGTCAAATACATTTTTGCAAACCACTTGCAAAAAATGTTAGACGTGTCTGGTGCTTAAACTAATTTAAAGTTTTAATAAAATAAAAGTTAAATACCAAATGAACCCTCAGGACATTTTTCATCAGCTGTTTCATCATACAAAGTTCTAGGCCACCATATTCCACTGCTAAACATATGAGGACAGCTATCATAAACAACTAAAAATAGAAACTGCATCAGTTAAAACAAAGTTCATAAAACATTAATATGTTTATAATAAGTTTATAAAATATTAATAAGTTAATAGGTTCATAATAAATGATAGTTAATTATAGTTTCATAAAACATTCAGATCTTGACTATTCATGAGATCAAAGCCAGTGGAGTGGTTTCTATTTTTTTTATATAGTTTATAAATAAAAAAACTCAAATTAATGTAATAAAAGACAAAATCGAGAAATTTTAATTGAACTATGCATTATCAACTTTTAGACTAAAATAAATTCCAAATCAATTAAGTTAAAAAAAATCATATTGAGTCCACCTCAATTTATTTTGAAAAACTATATTAAAAAAAAGAAAAAATTTCTCTCAACTAAATAGTTGAATTTAAATAACATTTTTTAGCATTTTTAGAAAACATAGAGATACACATTAGTTTTAAAATAGCTCTATTTAGAACAACAAAAAAAAACATTTTATGTAAATTAAAAAGAGTTTTGGTCTTTCAATAATCTTTGCAACTGTTAAAATGAATTTCTGTGAAATAAAGGAAAAAAAGTTCTTAAAAAAAATTGCATTTATTATTGTATTTTTTAATTTTGGTTAAAAAAAATTCTCTTTACCTACTTATCAGATTTAATATCATATTTTAATGCTTGCTTCTTTTTTTTCAATAGTCATATAATAGTATGGACCCTTCAATTTCCTACTATATTTCTATTATTAAAATCTTCTAAAATAACTATAATAATGCAATTGTGACAATAAAACCAAGAAATAAATTAGACAAATTGCTATTTTTAAAGTCTAACTGATGTAATAATTACAATTTCTTACAAACATTTAATGAAAAAACTCAAAACAACTAGAAAAAGAACTAAAGAATTCAAAAAATTAGAAGGATGGCGAGAATTCTAATACTGGTCTCTGTTACAGTATTACTTACAGAACTTCGGTTTGGGCAATTTTGAGATAGCATCTACCTAGATATTTATACTGTTTTTGTTTATTTCTTTTGCATTCCAATTTTTTTTCTTTATCTAACCTAATTAGGCTGTGTATATAGATAAACTCCGAAAATTAAAAGAGTCAGGGTATTTAAGGGCTTTAGTCTGGACATTATTAAATTTGTGTAACATTAATATTTTTGAACTCTAATGTTAATTTACTTAATAAATGAATAAAATTAGAAAAATAAAAATATTTTAAATAAAAGAAGACTTTTGACAAACATTTGTAACAAGAATTTGGTTAACATAAATATATAACATCAAATTAAAACAAAAAGTTACATTTGTTTTTTTGTTATTTTACTTTTTAATTAACTCAATGGTGTCTTTTATTTGTTTCTTAAGCAAAATAATGACCTTTAAAATGTTTACTTTGCCTTAGCATTTTAAAAAATACGAGTCAAATTTTCAAAAAATTGTTTTATGTAAACTTATTAAAAATAATTAAACCTTAATTTTGAAACATTTCAGAAAAACCACACTTAAAGTTTATTAAAGTAATTTATAAAAACTATTACAGGCTGTTTACTCAAATCATTAATATAGTTCAATTCTTGAAAGTTTTTAAAGTAGTTTTTGAATAAAAATTTAGACAATTTTTTAATTTTTTCTTAAAAAATCATGATCATTTTTTTAAAAAAATTGCTAATCAGATCCCTGATTAAATGCTTTCATAATGCATAATGTTATTTAGCAACAACACTAAAACTGTAAATATTAATACTTCTAACTAAAACTGTTAACAATATTAATTATTGCAAATTAATCACTGAATAAGTGAAATCATAGTTATTTTTATAAAAGCTCGATGCCGGCATGAATTGTAAATTGACAATCAGTCAGTTAAACAACAAATATAGAATAAGTTTTATTAAATTCAAAAATATTAAAAAAATCAATTAATCAAAATTATTATTAGCTAGACAAGTCGGTTCATTATTTAAATACAACAACTACACACTTAATAAGTTTAAAAAGCAACGTGTTTAATATTTTAGAATTAGTTCTAAATAAGAAAACAATAGAGATTACTTATTTTCAGATTAAGAGATTTAATAGTTTTTAATTTTTCATATATAATAATTTTTGCATTTAATAAAAGAACTAAAGGGAATTTTACATGCTTGTTTAGTTTAAAAGTAATAAGAATATATATATTAAATGTTTATTATGTGCCTCACTCTTCCTAGAAACTTAATTTAGTTAACGAGTCTGTCCTATCTTAAGGATTTGTCAAGCTTTAATCCAAGTACTCTACTGACCTTCACATCCTCTTAAAGTTACTTCAGCAAGTGGATTAGAACAGGAATCACAGCGCCGTCCAATAACTCCTGGTCTGCAATTACACTGTCCAGAAATAGGATCACATCCATTACCATAAGAGCCCACAGAATAGCATTCGCAACTAAAGCAAACCATGCTATCAGGAGGTTGAAAATGGTTATCCTACAAACATACATATTGAAATATTATATTCTCCAATAGTAATAAGAAAAAAAAATAGAAACTGTAGATTCACAATTTAAATTTACTGAAGAATTCAACAATTTGCAACTACTGAGGAAGTAACACAAAGTAATAATGAAATTAAAAAGAAAGATGTTAAAAATCAATTTTTAAAAAAAATATTAAGTTAGCTTTTATTAAAATCAGTTGCATTTTCTTTCTAGATTGAATTATTAATTGATTATAAAATATTGAACGATTTTAATGTTATAAAAACCTTAATTAGATTATGTTAGGAAACATAACGTATATTTAAACTTAATTGCATAATTAATAACTGAATCAATTGTAAAAGAAAAGGATAAATCAATTTACTGGTTTATGCCTTTTCTGCATTAGTTTGGTTACATTAAATAAATTGTGTGCTAAGAATTATACAATATTAATTAGTAACATAAATAAAAAAAAGCATTAGTAACAATGGCATTAATAATAAAAAAGATTATGTTTTTATATATACAGCTAAAAAGGCAGCACCTTTACAGTGAAAATTAATTTAAGGCAGTTCAGCTCCATTAATTAATAACTGTCACTTACATTTTTAACACTTTCTCATCATTTCTACGAAAAAAAGTACTGAGTCTCATTATTTGTTAGTTAGTAATCAGCATAAGGAAATTTAAGATTGTTTGAGTGAATTTAAACAAACAGTATTAATAAATGTATAAAATTATAAACTACTTACATTTGGCAACAATTTTGTATTACTAATTAGTTTAAGATTGTTCAGAATTATTCTTATATAATTTGTCATATTGTGAGATAAGGTACGTTTTTAGTCCTTAAAGATGCTTGTTGGGACTCTTTTTTAAATTTCAATATTAATTTGACGTTTATCAAAAATGTTTTAAGAAAGAAGAATTACGAGATTTCTTATAACCAAATAAAAAAATCATGAACTTTAAAATTTGTTCATTTTAAATGTATGCATTTGGAATTTTTCCATCACTAGTCTTATTTTAAATATATGTTTTAATGTGGGAAATATTAAGAATCGGTGCACAAACCCAAGGAAATTTTAAGAAAGTGAGTACTCTTCAAGTTTCCTCCCTGAGATTAATAAGATAGCGTACATAGATTTTATTTATAAAAGTCCCATGCTCACAATCAATTCATTCTTCCTACTTATTTTTTGTTTCTAAGGCAAGAGTATTTCTAAAAATAATAGATCCAAAATGAACAATATTTTGATAAGTAAATATAATAAAAAATGGAAGTAGCACAAAGGCGAAGGAATACTATTTTAGTATGTAGAGACACAAAAAACTTGAAAGTAGAAACAAAAGTATAACTCTAGACCTTCAAGAAATTCACCCATAATTTTGGTAACCTTCAAAAATTTTCAGGATTTTTCATCAAATGGACGACTAGCCGAATTTTCATTTTGTGGCATAGTTAAGTTAACTGTTAATTCAAATTGAAGCCAAAATGTAAATCTTTGTCTCATAGAAGTTTCCTCTTTGCTCTGAATATGAATAAAAGCTAGTCCTGAAGCATGTGAAGACTCACAAAGCTCCTCAAACATACACAAAACAGAGCTTGTTACGCAATAGAATTGGTTAAACCTCTTTCCTGATTTCAGAAAGCTCAATTTGAAGAAAACCTTTACAGTGAAAACAAAACTGTTAAGAAGCTCAGGACCATTCTAGTTATGTATGCTAGCTTTTTACTTCATATTATGGATGATGAAAAAAAGTTTGGGATTAAATTAACTAATGTAATTTACTTAAATATGGTGCAAGCACATTCTACTTTTTTTATCACTTAATAATCCATACATTTCTTATTGGTGGGTCATTCCACAAATAAATGCAGCTCACAATGTTCACCTTATTTCTAAGAGTTCGATACATCCATCCATTTCTAGTATTTTCACCCAAATAAATGTTTTACCTGATTACTTATTTATCAGTCAATGGCATATCCATCAACAATCTCCCGAATCCCAACATTACTTTATACCCATTACGTTTATATTTCAATTTAAAAATTTAATCATTAAATAACTCAATTTTTCTGAATGGTTACAATATACAAAAGACTTAAATTCATAAATATGAACTTTTTGTTCACTCTTAAAATTTATATTTTATTTAAAAAATATAGCAGAAGATTTTTAAAAAAATTTCAATAATGGTTTTTAAGTAAAATAGTTTGTATAAACCAAACTTTGCTTAAATAATATAATAAAAAAACTAAACATAAATTGATTACAATTTACTTTAAAATTTTACATTCTAAACAAAATAAAAGTTTTATTAAAGAGCATAAAGGTCATTAAAATGCTTATTTAACTTGAAGAACATTTCTTAAACAATAAATTAGTAATTTGGTGATTGTTAACAGAAAGAATATAAAGTACTCAAAATTTCCGATAAAAAAATTTTCCTTCTAAAAAATGGTTAAAACTGATTTCTTTTGCAAATCTATCTACAGATAACAACATAGTATACAACCTCACAAATGCATTCTCCAGTTTTCTTATTACAGTCTGCACTGTATCCTTTGCTTGTGTCACAATTACATGGTCCACAAATAGGGTACCCCCACCAATTTGAGGGACATACAAGATCTACCAGAGTTTCACAATAAGCTCCAGTATATCGAGCATCACAGTTACAACTATATAGCTTATCCTCTAAAGTCTTGTTTGATGTTTCACAAGTTGATGAATTACTACATGGATTAATTTGGCAAACAGGTAAGCAATTGAGTCCAACGTATCCTAAAAACACATCCATTGAAATTATTATTAAATAGTAACATTTTATTACTATGTTGTTTAAAATGTTTTACAAAACTATAACAGTTCTTAAAATATAAAAAATAACACATAAAAGGCTAATTTTACAAAATATGTAAATTTACAAAATATCTAAATTTGCAAATAATATGTAAATTTACAAAATAAAATATTGCAAAGGAAACACATGCTTTAACCACTTAACAGCGTCCTTTTTCTGGCAAATTGGGTCAAAAAATAAGCATACTTTTGAGAAACAAATTTCTGTTAAAATCTATTATATAAACTCAAATCAAGAGTCAATTATTTATTTTATGAAATTATTACAATTATTGATTTTATGAAATAATTTTAATTTTTATTTAGAGCAAAAACAATTGCATTTTTACTTAAAGTTGGCTTTTCTACTAAGCTAGTGAAATCAAAATTCATGCCTTTTTCCGCGTAAAAGAAAAGCGCGAAAACCTTTTGCAATCATACCTCTACTGGACAACCAGAGCCATCTGTTAGAAACATTGTAAACTAAAGAAAGAAAAATTCGGGCAAATCATTGCAATAGAGTAAAGAAATCAGTCGCACAAGCGGCGTTCGGGCAAAACAGGGAAGGCCCTTTTTCAAGTACCCAAACGGTGTTCGTTCAAAACTGGGAAGTGGTTAAGTTTGGAAAGAAGTATTCTTTTAGTAGAATTCATCTTGTAATCTTTAATTCAATTTCCATACATAATATCTTGAGTTTTATTTTTAAAATTTCATGACATTAATAAACTGCATATTTTTAATATTCTGTTTCAATTATAAATTCGTTTTTTTTTTTTTGTTTTTAATGAATTCTTAACAGTATATTTCAACTAAGAAAAGTTTTGCTATAAAATTCAAAGTGAATTTAAGTACTATTTTCAAATACAAGTAGCAAAAACTCATGTTAATTTTCAAATACTAATTTATAATACTATTTAATATCAAGTCAATTTTCTAATAAGTAAACAAAAACAAGCTGAGTTAGGTAAACTTGTGACATTCTTTATTGAATATTATTTACCGAGTACAAAATAAAACTTAACGTTTTCTTCTGCAGTTAAATTTTTAATTTAAAAATGTTATTCAGAATAAAATTAAACTGACATCAGTTTAAAAAGTACAGACAATGTATTTATTCTGCTTATGAATATGTAGTGATTAACTCTCCAACATAGTGGCTTATTTTACTATTTTCTATATGTATTGAAAACACAAACAATGAAACCATAAACAAATGTTTCCATTTAAAAAAATTATGTAACAATAAATTAAAACAAGAACAATCATAGCCAAGAACTGAAAATGTCATAGCTTAAGTTCTTCAATTTCTTAAAAATTATAATATTGCAAAAAATATTTGATGTTATGAACATGATATTTCTTCGTGCTTAAGTCATGAGACTAAATTGTGATTTTTCTTTATTTTGATTTGACACAAAATATAGATTCACTAGCAAGGTAAAAACTTCCAGTAGTTTATGAATAAGTAGAAGAAAAACTTTTTTTAAACTATATGAACATAAATTTACAGCCTAAATAGGCTAAAAACATATTTTACTTTTATTAAAAATTAATGAGTGTTAAGTGAAATGAAAACTATTACATTGGAAGTAGAAGTAGAAAATACAAGATAATTAAAAAGTGAGCATTTATTTTAAACTAATTTAAGTTATGCTCTGACCATATTAGAAAATATAGATTTAATTTAGTTAAGCACTTTTTCATAGGACATTCTATGCAGCAGCAGATAAAAGAATATTTCTTTAGAGTAGCCAAGTTACTAAAATTATGTATTTAAAAGCAAATAAAAATGATTTGAAAGTACAAATGTTTACCTTTTTCACATTCACAAGAATAATTCCCCCAATGATTTATACAATGACTGTTACGTGGGCAAGGATTAGATTCACAATGATTTTGAGAAAAACAAGTGTCCCTAACATTCACTTCTATAATAGGTCTTGACCAAGAAGCTTGATTATTTCCAATTTTAACATCCTGTAAGTAATGATAATAAATTTATAGAGTGTACATAACAAAAGGATATCCTCAGAATCATTAAAAAATTATATTAAAAATTAGGGTGCAATCAAATCATTATTTTTTTTCTTTTAAAGGGAGGGGGAGTTTTAAAAAAGTGAACTTCTTCAACTTAATTTGGAGTTCTTCAACATTTTCAGTAACTTGAATTACTGTATGGAAATGATGAAAATTATATTATATTATATTATATTATATTATATTATATTATATTATATTATATTATTATAAATTTATAATGTTTTTTAAGTTTTTATTAAATAATTCTAAGAAATACAATGGAAAAATATTATAGGGTAAAAGTATATAATTATGTAATTATTAATAATTTCATTTTTAGCATAGCCTTAATTCTTAAAGCTTCCAGCCAAGCCATTTTTAGGGCATATGGGATTCATTTCAAGCAGAAAGGACAAAATTGATTATATATTTTTATGTCCTTTCTGCATAATTAAGATAAAGTTAAAGATAGCATCTAACACCAGTTCCCAAATTTTTTGGCTGCGGAACCCTGACTTATCAATCTTCTTAGGGCGGAACCTTGACTTTATAAATGAAGTTTATTAAGGTAATTGTGAATGTTATAACCTATAAAAAACTATTTTTAAAATATTTAATTAGAGGAATGAAGATTGTTCATTGTTTTATCATTGTCTTAAATTAGGTTTTATTTTCCTGCAGTTAAATTTGCAGTCCTTGTTCTATAGCCTAATTATGGATTTGTTTTTGGTTTATGTACACAAATGAATAAAATGAGCGAATTATAGCTTAATATGAGATGAGAACTGCTGTTGAAAATGGTTAATTAAGGAGACATATTTCTTTATTAAAGAATTATTTTATCTTATTGGGAAAAGCGTGATAGGAAATACTAATGTAATACTTCATAAATGTTTGTTCTTCTCATAATTAGTTCACCATATTGTTATTAGAAATATTATATTTTCCTTTAAAAAATGTAATTTCCATTTCATTGGCATTTTTCTTAAAATAATTTCATAAAGGCAACTAAAAAATTAAATAATTTACGAATTTTAAGTTGTATCTAAATATAATCAGAGGTTTCAAAACTTATCATTGGTTTTAGGTCTTAAGAAGCACTAACTCACAAAACCCCTTCCATTTTTCTAAGGAACCCTAGAGTTCTGCTGAACACCATTTGGGAACCACTGGTATAGAAACATAAAGAAGAAATATAAAAATGTAACAGATTAACATAATTATTTTAGTTAATAATATAATACCAAAAAATATTCAACTAAGTTTGAAGCATAATTAATATTTAGGCTCTAAAGTATGATATTTTCATGCAAGACATTTAAGATTTAATTTAATAGAAAAACAGAAGTAATAAGAAAAGTTCCAAATACCTATTTTTTGCAAATTTTTATCACTAATCTTTGTAATAAACTTAATTAAAAAAGTTTTCTTTATAAGTTAGAAATCAGTATCAATAAAAATATTATTAAGCTTATTCGAAGTTACTTTATTTTTCTTGAAAGATTATATTTCTTAATTGCACTATTCAATATCTTTTTAAGAGTATGACAAATTATCTTAAGTATTTTTTTTAATTCAGTGATTTATATCAAGAATATATTTTTGAAAATCTTACATGATTAAAAATGTGTTTATGATTTCATTTGTTTGAATTAAATTGTTGACCTCCTGCTTTAAAACTAAAAATTTAATAAATATGAAAAAAATTAACACCTGAATGCATCCATTAAAGAATGTAACTTTTTCTTCATCTTCAATAGTTTCTATACCCCCTACAGATACTTTGCCAATACGCATACCTTGTATATTTGCTTTCATAACTTTTTTCATCTAGAACAATAAAAAAAATTACAATTTAAGATATATCTTAAAGTATTGAATTTTTATTGCTATTTATAAAATTGTAATCAAATGAGATTAAAAGTTGAATGATGATATCCATATTATTTCGAAACAACATTGATTTTATACATAAGGATGAGTTTGGTAAAAAACAAAAAGAAAACTGAAAATAGAAATCCAAAAACATTATGTACAAAACATTTTTTTAAAAAAATTGAAAATATTCCTGAAATTAGAGCAAGAAAAAAGTTTACATAGTTGGCATATATCCATAGAATATTATCAACATTTTAATAAAAATATATGGATGCCTGATATTTTTTTAAAAAAATTGTGCAAATACGAATAGCGATGCTTGATTTTAAATTGTGTAAATATGAATCACGACGTGTGATTTTAAATCATGCGAATGTAATTTTGAAATGCGTTTGAATAGTTAAGAAAAGGTGGTAATAAATGAATGTTTTTCGGGGGGAATTTGAAAATGCTGAAAAGTTTCAAAAGTTTTTGGACATTGTATCTGATTTTTCCATTTTCTTTCCTCTCGGGGGTCCTTGATAATTTCAGTTGATTGCAGCTGTTAGAAGAAAATAATCAAATGCCATATCTGTTATCTTTAAACTTCTACATCCTGTAAATAAAAAGCTATAGACAGCTATGTGGTCGATTTGATTCTTTGTTGTTTTCTGCCTGGGGAAATCCATGTTGCCTTGCTTGTGTATTTTTTTATGTTTAAATGAAGTAGTGAAGTAGTATGTATAATGAAGTAGTTCAGTTCATAACAGGCTGGGAAATGTTCACTATTTTTCTTTTTCCATTTGTTTTATATCTAATTGCACACTCATCTTCAGATGTTCACCTTCTCTAATTTTGCATTCATGTCTCTCATCAAAATTAAAAGAATGTGTTTAGGGACCTTGTCTGAAGACAAGTTTTTTTGTAGTTGATCATACAACTTAGTTTTTATTTCCATATTAGCATCATTAGTTGGTATGTACACCTGTATAATTGTTACCTATGTGTAGTTGGAGTAGAAGTTTGCTCTTATGATTTGGCTGTGTACTAGTTTCAAGTTCAAAAGATTTTTCTTCACCTTATAATCTTTTTAGGTGATGAAAAAAAACGAAAAATAAATAGCCATTATTATAAGCAAAAGAGGTGAAGAAAAGCTTTCTGGACATCCTTAAATTATATATTGGTTAAATAATTTTGCAATTAAGTAATTAAAATTTTTGCATTGTTATTCTTTAAAAATTGTAAGGTAATAAACCTGAAATATTTTTTTTAAAAAAGGAAGGATAAAGACTAATTAAGTATTTTTCAAATTTACTTTCTATTCGAGATTTAATTATTAGTATGACTTAAGATACTTAAGATTTAATTATTAGTATGACTTAGACTACTTAAGATATTATTAGTATCATCCACAAAAGAAGCAATAAACTGAATTGAGTTGAATGGCATCAAAATCAGATACTCAAAACGAAAGAAGTAATCTAGGTAAACTGATTAAATGGTGCTAAACTAAGTCTAATGGAAAAAAATGTTTGTAAAGATTATGGGGGTAAATTTTGGTTATGGATCTGTTCACTTGAAGAAGAGAAACACTGAGGGAAAACAAAATGCTGAGTAAAAAATTATTTTTTATAAAGATTTCTTTGATAAATTAGGTTAATAAATAATCTGTTAAGGCAGAAACCCTAATTTGCATTAATCAGTGTTGCAAGCCTATAACATCAATATTTTGTTTTACTATAATTTACTTAGTGCTTATACTTTGATTTTATGATATTTAATGCTCTTGTGTTCAATATCTTTTTTCATTTATTTTAAATGTTATTATTATGTCATTATTTTAATATTTTCAGTTAAATAAACAGTAACTAAATAATTTTAGCGTTAAAATGTTAAATATTGTTTTAAAATTCAAAAGTAAAGGGGGGAAATATATTATTACTTACAATATATTTTCCATAGTCCAATGATAACAACAACCACTTTGGAAACCATGTTGCTTCAACAGTATGCCAGTTTCCATCATTAACTGTGACATGTGACAAAATGAGATCCTGATTATTGAAAATATATCTAATATACCCATCAATTACCTGTGAAAGAAAAGAGTAATTAAGTTTTTCTGTTACAAAAGAGCAAGATATCAAAATTAATTAGAAAATTATCAAAAATTTGGATAAAAAGAATAACGAAATAATCAAAATAATAATACTTAACAATTTTACATTAAAACTTGGTATATTATACTCAAATAAAGAAAATTAAATTACTATACAAAGAAAACTTTTTAAAAGTGTATTATTCTAAAATGCAAATAGAAATGCATATCGGTGTAATTCAGAAATACAAACTAATTTTAGATTTTTAAGGTAAAAGCAAGGTATATATATATATGTGTATTTATATATGAGGGTTGTAAATTAAATAGTGACAACTTAGCCTTGAAACTCACAGAAGGGCGGGCATGCGCAAAAAGGATATGGGAACAGTGAAGTGGAGCTGTTGTCGATGTGCAGAGTGCAAAAAACAGTCGATCTGCTTAGAAGGGTAGTTGCTGTGTGGCGCTAAAGTGAGGAGTTTCATTTCTATCGCTCTAAAGCATGTTTTTAAAAGGTGAACAGCGGTCGTCGCTTAAAATCGAGTGTACCCGTTGCAAAAATGCAACAGAATGCTATCGAGGATTAGTGGAAGCCTGTGGAGCAAATGCTTTACAATATTGGACAATAGCACGATCTTTTCAAGCATTTCGTCTTATTCGTCATTAAGCCTTTTGAAAACACGCTTTAGATTGATGGAAACGAAACTCCTCACTTTAACGCTACACAACAACTACCCTTCTAAGCAGATCAACTGCATTTTGCACTCTACACATCGGCAACAGCGCCACCTCACCGCTCCCATATCCTATTTGCACAGCCCCACCCTTCTGTGAGTTTCAAGGTTAAGTTGCCACTATTTAATTTACAACCCTCGTGTATATA